TGCAGCCGCGCGATGGCTGATAGGACCGGAAAAAGAGGCCTCCTCCTCCTCCGCCTCCGCCGCCCCCCGTCTTGCGCCGAACCGCTTTTTCAGAAGACTCGTGGATTCGCGATGCACCGTGGAAACATGCCTCAGCGGTGCACTTTGCTTATTACTTCGATGATTACACCACCTCCGCCTCCCGACGAGCACCGATCAGAGAAAACTCTCGTCCGTACGCTGACACGAATAACCAGAGGGACGCGTCCGTGTTTGTAGATTCTTCAAGGTTTGGACGAACAAACGAGACACCGGATACTGTCTGAAATATGTACTGGCTTTAATGTTTGAACGCTAGAATACTTTGCTAGAATTACTGAAACACCCGTTCTTTCGTTATGTTAATCCTTTGTTATCCTATATAGAGCTTGCTCTTCCTTACGTATACAATTGAGTTGGTCTTCTAACAGTCTGGCACCAAATTATCTTTTCTATTCGTTTCATTTCGCCAAATCTGCAACTGTTTTAAAGACGTTATTATTATTGTATCGTCTCACCCTCTGTTACAGCCGATCGAAATAAGGCGTCGCGCGGCAAAACGACGCCAGTGGAAACGCCGAGACGTTAAAAGAATCGAAACCCTTACGCGAGGCGGTGATTTCCGCGTCCCCTCTGACACTAGAATCTGCATTCGAGTGTACAGCCAACAGTTGGGACAGTTTTTTATCGCCGGGTACAGACGCGTCGCGTCTACTCGGTGATCGGGGGAGGTTTCGGGGGGGAGGCGTGTTCCCGCATTTTTCCTTTTGTCGTTCCAACCCTTTTCTTTCGTCGCTCGTGCACCAGCAGTATTCACCGGTAGGTCTTCCTCTGTGTCGCGAGATTCAATGGCGGTGGGATTACAGGGGCGAGAAGATAAGAGCCGGGCTGGGGGCGCCGTAGGAACGAGACGCAGAGGGCAGGCGTCGATTCTTTGATGCGTGAAATTAAAGGGCTCAAAGCTGTAAAAACGACGTGTATAAATTTTCGCCCAACCGGGGATTCACCGACCGATTCTTCTTCGTTCGCGTCGGGCCCCCCCCCCGGTCGCGACAGGAGCCTCATTTCCTTGATTGCGCGTGAATTTATCGCCCCGTCGTGGAACAGCGGCGATAATTCGACGAGGAAACGCTTCGACTCGTAAACAGAGACGAGAACAATTTTATACGTGCGTGTACGTTGCCTCTTTAAATTTGTACAATTGTTTCGATCACTACATGTATTCGTAACTTCGTCGTTAATTATTTTTACGTAACGAGTAACAGGTTATTCGTCGTTCCGAAATTTGTATACGAATGAAAATTCTGCCCATCCCTGCTCGTAAGTTCGACGGCGGAATTAATGGGGGATTACACGCATCCGGAACGAGGAATAACCGATCCGTACGTTATCGAATCGAGAGTCAGCGAACGGTTCGTGCTTTAATTAAACGCCGCCGCCGCGAGTACCGCGCGTATTTTTACACGAGGATTCGTTCACAAGTGCACGGGGGGGTTGTTACGCGCGTGTAGATTAAAAGTTCGAGAGCTAGCCAAGAGCAAAAACGTACAATACGCGGCTCGATCGTGTCACGCGTCGTCCTGCATGACTCACTGCGCACTTATAATTTATAAGAATCTGAAGGGCGTGGCGGGGCTTCGATGCAACAAAATACTGACTCTTGTAATATTTTCGATATTTACGCGACGGGTTAAATCGCGTTACGATTCCACGTTACCATTCCTGTCAACGTTTATCCTTGCCGCTGTTATTTTGTTGCATTCGTAACACTTTCGCTCGTAAAGTATTCGATTCAATACGTTCGGTTTTACATGCGTTTAAAACAGAGCGGAAAACAATTTCTCACTTTTATCTCGTGTCTTCCTACATTTATAACACGTATACTATGTTATTTTAATATAGAGGCTTCGTTAAAAAGTTATTATTAACGTTTAAAGTTCCACCAGTTCTGAATTTTTTTCTCGAAAATGCGCGGGATTTCGGGGGTATGTCTATTCACCAAAAATTATTGTAATTGAAACCCGTAAACGAAAATAATTTTTTTAGAACGATTTGAAAAATTTTTTGTTGTCGAAAAATTTCTGCACCTACCCGATTTTTTTTCTCGAAAATGCGTAGGAATTCGGGGGTATGTTTAATGACCAAAAATGATTGTAATTGACCCCCGCAGCCGAGAATAATTTTTTCAAAACGATTTGAAATTTTTTTTTTCCATCGAAAAATTTCACACCTTCTCGAATTTTTTTCTAGAAAGTGGGAAGGATTTCGAGGGTACGTGTAATGACCAAAAATGATTGTAATTGACCCCCGCAGCCGAAAACAATTTTTCCAGAACGATTTGAAATTTTTGAATTTAATTGTTAATAACTTTTTAACGATTTGAGAAGAAGGTATTTTCGACAGAGATCACGGAACCGATACTTCGGTGTTTGTGTGATAAAAGTTAAACAAAAGGGCTAATCCCGTTTATGAACAATGGGCGCACGTGTTTCTACGTATGCACAATGAGAAGGAAACGATGATAGGCCGATTTCCTTTTAACTCGTACCCACAAAAGAAACCTATAGAATTTCTACGTAGGAACGCGAATGAATTACACAAACGAGTGCCATTCTTTTTTCGTTAGCACGTCTTTCGCAGTGATTTTGTACAATAACAATAGCGGTCTTTTACGAGCACTTTTTTCCCCCGACGTAAACCGAGATAATTGGCCGTGTCCCGGCGTAACGCCACAGCGCCATATACACCGCCGTCCGCGTGCTATTGCGCTCTGCTTTTTCATGGCTAAATCGTTTTGTTCCCGTTGCATGCTCGCTCGCCGGACTTATCCGCTCGTTCGTGAAAAGCGTTTCGCCAAGGAAACGTGTCGCGTCCCTGATTCCAGTGACGCGCCCAGAAATTCAACAATGGCGGTGCAATTAAAAATTAAATACACGTCGCCTCGATATTATTTCAGTCAAGACAATAATTATACAGCGTGCCACAGATTTTCATTAATTAATCTTTTTAACACCTAAGTGAACATTCCAGTCAGTCTTATGCGTGTTACGTAATTATTATCTTTCATTAATATTTGTCTCTGTTACTTTGCACAAAGAGGGTCGAATTCCCATTAATAAATAAAAAAAATAAAGGAGGGAGATACAATACTTCGCTGCGCTACTCCCTGCTCCCCTGGGTGCGTCACTGCTCGTTTCCCTGCTCTTTTTTCCGCTCGCCGGGGGAAACGAAAGCGTCCGTTTCCCGTGAAAACGCGACTCACGTTCGACGACGTGCAAAAAGAAACGAGAAAGAATCCGCGGGAACAAGCGATTCCCACCCGCGCACCGAAGATTCGACGCGGAGAAAACACGCCTGTCGTCGATTAGATGCGCCAAGCGGCCGTGACGGAAATAGAAAAAGCAAAGGGAAAGAAATCATGCACCGTTCTGATTACATGCATGATTTAATCGGGCACGAGCGCGACACGCACGCTACAAATCCGCGAACACGAAAAGAGCCATGGAACGTCGTCTAATTGCGAACGTAAAACTGTGGCGAGACCGTGGCCCGAACAATGAACGAAGAACGTGATATCTGAGATGCACAACAGTGCCCTGGAATTCGTTCGAAACATTCTTTAACGCGTTTACTGTCACGCCTGTTTCCACATCTTAAATACAAACAAATTTCCATGGCCCCGCCTTAACACTATTCTAAGAAACGCATGATTCAATTTTAAAAATAGGTGCAGGCGTAAATTGCACGTGTACTGTAGCAGCAAATAAAAAAAGTTACGTCATCGAGAGATGACTCCGCACGAGGAATTCCCTCTATTAATTTGTCGTGTCTTCGTTTAGGAAAACGTTACAGCTTGTCCCAGTTTCTAAAAATCATCAAATAATAAAAGTTATTATGTTGTTTGATAATTATTAAAATAATTTCAAGTTAAAATTTTGAAATCTGTCTTGCGATACCTCTGGTAGAGACTGTTAAAAGTATCTTGCGTACAGTGCATTCGGGCTCATGGGGAAATTGTCATGTAAATAAGAATGAACATTTCGAAAGTCGGATCCCCAAGTTTACAGAGTATTGTGAACTATGCAACCACGTGACGAACACGTAGCCACGCCTTATTCGCGTACGGCTTTCAAGATTTTGCATGTAGTACACGCACACCGGTGCATTATCAATACTTCCGGCGATTGGTTTACGGGAGACAGGTATACGTAAACAGCTGCCTGAACAATAAAGTTTCACGTGAATTAAGCGCGCACGAGATATACGCTATACTACGCTAACAGGTGTTGTCGCCTCCTGGCTACTACCTCAAACATACAGCCTATTAATTTAGCCTGAATAATACTCGATAAGAACGCTATCATAAAAAAAGAACTCGATCAGCACACAGAAAATGTGGTTACTCGCTACTCGATCTATTATTAATCGTTTATATATTTTTTTTCCGGTGTGTGTTTACGTTGTACAGGATGGTAAATATTTATGTTTTACTTGGCTCTCGTAAAATAAATCAAGATCAGTGCCGCGCCCAGTGGCTCGACAAAGTTATCAGAGCATTTTGGTAATTGAGAAAGAGGTTAAAATCAATGAATCCGTTGGTCAGTTTTCCACCGGTACTAATGTCATAGTTCACGAGCACGCACGTCCCCTGCAGGAGAAAGGCGCGTTACGAATACACGGCGTATTGCACTGTCGAGCAAGCTCGGTTTCCCCCAAGTTCATTGTAACTTTGGTCATGTCGAGCATCACCTCCTATCAACGCCACACCTCCCTACGCATCGGCCGTGAGTACACTTCCTTGCCCTGGTTAACACTACACCCGTTTGTATTAATAATCTTGAACACACAGTGGAATCTATCCACGGTTTATCCGCGCCTTTGCCTATCTCTGCCAATACGTATCATAAAACGATTATCACGATAATACTTCGAACGCATTTGAAATTCCCACGTAACGTTTAAGATATTCCTTAATTTCGTACCTCGATCGAATCGGCTTACGCACGTCACAAAACGTTATTTAATCTTAGTTTTCGAACTTTTCTTCCGTTAAATAATTCAGCCGGCGAACTTCAGTCAGCGTAGCACGAAGGGCACTCGACGGGGTCTCGAGTTGCAAGAAAAATGCTGAAACACCGGAAACTGAATCAAGAAAAGCTCCTCATCGATTGTCAGTGGGTAGAAGCGCAACTGGGGTAATGCGTCTTTCGAAAAAGTTGGCATCTCCGCGACAAATTGCATAATTGACCTAATTGATCGTAACGAGCGTTAGCGAGAAAATTGTGTTTACTCTTGGACCTTGTTAGGACCGTCACGAACGTACGAGGTGGTCGAGAAGGTTTTAGCTTCCATAAATCATTTAACACGTTGGCTGCCACGCTAAGTTTTCCATATCTATGTTGTCCTTGACATTTATTCAAACTATAATATAAAAAATAAAAATATTCGATAATTCAACGGTTTACCTGTTATTTTAGGGCATTCCTGATAACAGTATCGTTATTTACAATTTGTCAAGTATCAAGAACTAACTTACACATTGTAAGTTTTAAGCGTCGGTCACCGGTGACCACCATGGCAGTCAACATGGTAAAACATTCTTCGTTTAATCCAAGTATAAGGAGAGAGCGGTACGTACGGCAAAGTATCAAGCATGTGGCACACTTCGCAAGAATCGCTCTACCCTCAGGGTCGTCACACTGAAGCGGGAATAGTAGTAGAAATAAATTACAAACAGTAAACTCATCTACCGTTCGTTTCGGATTCGTCGAATATTCTCAATACGCTAACGATGACATATTTTATTTGTTACCGTTTCCAACGATTTTTAACTGATTCTGCGCGTCTCTGGGTATCGCTGATCCTACGTGCATCAAGAGTACAAGATATTCTTTCCGGTGAAATATGATACTCGATACGCGAGGAATGTATTTACGGGTTCGATCATGACTACATTGACTCTATGCTCGTTCGGATTCTTCGACGCAAACGTATCTGGAAATAATTGTTGAATACATATAAAGAATTTCATTTCCAGGCAGTCGAAAGTATAACGTCACTTTAAATGGAATAAATATTACACTATCGCATGCTGTACGCCATAGTATATGTAATTATGTACATGCAGGTTACATTAGTATGTTGTATCAAAAATTTTATGTCAACCGGGCCAAACAGATGTTTCCGTGAATTTTTGATCAAGTACACGTTACAACGCACGTAAATATTGCATTGCAACTACGTGAAATCACTGAAGACATTTTCCTAATACGTGCAATTATGAATTGACACTACCACAGGTTATGTGAATACTATACTTTCTTCGCGCGATATTGAATTTGTAGATTCGTGGGCACTCGGAATGCAATACGATTCAAACCAATCGTCACGCAACGGAAATTTGTCGACAATAAACTTTTCTATTTACGAATGCATACTGACGTACATACGTGTATTCAACATACAACAGAAAACATACGAATATCTCGTATTTCTCGTGCTTGATACCTCGAAAATATTGAATATTTTTTAGTGAAATCCGACGAAACTTCGTTACACCGTGCCGTCGAAGGTGATAGGTGAAATCACAAAACTAGTAAACTTACCTATAGGATGTGGACGCGATCTTTTCTCGAATAACGCACCACGACGCGAATATCGCGAATAAAAGGTACGACGAAAAACAACACACAGGGTCGAAACACCAATTGTCTTTTTCTCTCGCTCCAGTAACAGAGTACTTCCTACTGTAAGCACATAAACAACTCTCGTTTCAATTCCGCCGACGGCTACGAATATGAAGCAGGTCCGTCGAATCGCGGGGCGACGCTGGATGCGGCCACGGCCCATATTCGCACCATTTTCAAATAGTCCCCTCACGCGTACGAGTATTACACTCTACGTACCTTGATATTTCCAAATTCTTCTCTCGACGAACGATCAGAGCTCATGAATAATCCGGCCACGTTATAAAATTCACACGATAGTAACGCACCATTTAATTCGGATCGCTAACACGGTGAATACGGGACTGCTTTCGATGTTCTTACGCGCGAGTCAATATGGCCGACTACCTAGGAAAATCAGTTTCTCTTATGACGCAACCAAGCGAGCACGCCCCGTTTAAATAAATTTTCATCGCTAGATGGCAGCAGCCATGTCATCGCCAAAATCGACCGATAAAAAGAAATTCTAACTGTCGGTAAAATTGCATATGGCAGTAGACCGTCCTATACTTGCCATCTAACGGCGACGCATGCGAACTAGAATCGTCCCTCCAAAAATACAACCTGATGCATTCGTCGTAAACCGGCATCACAAACAAACTGTAGAATAGTCCTGGCACTACAGGTGAAGTATAAAATAGACCTAAATATGTGGTATTATAGCGAAGTATAGGCAACGACCGACTGTGTCGTGTAATACACACTTTCATTGCACGTTATGTCTATCTTATGCACAGGTGGTGTTTACACCGTGTCTATGACACTGCCGCCATATTTGATTAACGGTCGTTTGAAGTAGGTTGTTACATCCGCACAGGACTGCATCAGCCCACCCTGATTGACAACTCTATCTCGGCTGAAACAAATAACACAGATTTACGTGCGACACAGAATTTAGTATTCACAAGGTATAATATTCTGCATAACAAAGCAACACGTAAATTTTAAAATGTAGTCGATAAGTAGGTATGTATAAAACAAGTTTCAAGTTACCATTAAATCGTAACAACAATATGTATTCGATTTTTACATCGGAATTACTAATAATACGTGTACATTCGGTAACTTTGATCGATACATAGTAAAGGTATAACAAAATAAGATAATTATCTACAATAGCGACTATCTCACAGATTCCAACGACCTTGAAATATGTCGTAAGGGATACGTCACCGTACATATTCCGATTTTTAGTTTTCAAGATATATTTTATTGTCTTGAAAACGTAACTAGATCTACTAACAATAAGACTATTACCTTATGTTCGTAATAGTCTGAGTGGATCTGGTTCAGCTTACAAGAGAGTAGTCGCGAATAGGCAATTCAAAATTTTAACAACGGCGGATCTAGAGAGGGGCGATCGTCCTCTCGCCCCACATTACAAATTTTCAAGTTTTCGACCCAACTCGATTCGATTTCGAGAAATTATCACAAACATTCGAGTTACGACCTGACCTGATAAATTTTGGCGTCTAATAATTATATCTTGAAAAATAAAAGCGAGCGACAAATAATTTTCTTTGGAACACTCGGTGACCAATTCTCTCTCCCATACTTCAAGATCACTGAAATCGATGAGATTGTTATTATTATACATAATTACTCAATATAATAAACTAATCATTCGTTATTCGGTGTACGTTTACAATTACTCTTCGTAATATAAAAAAGTAGTTTTCTTATAAACAACGCGATGCAGCGTTCCTTCCGCGATCTTCGATTTACTGCACGTTGTCGTTTACAAGAATATTAATAGATGCAATAAATCCGTCCTTTTCATATACGCCGAAAAACTACAAATCGCAATGACGTATGATCGTCGCAAGACTTTGTTATATACATATATATTTGAGTTACAGTTCTTATCACACTATGGTACGATAAAATCTGTTATGGTTGATTACAATCGATTAAAAGTCATGGAAATGTTTAAAGTATATAATACACAAAGAGCAACTGTTTTATGCGAGTTGCCTCGAATAACATACGCAAACGATATACAATGTATTGTATTAACATTTTCATGTATCGACCTGGAACATCATACGTCATATGTGTAGAACTGTTAAACTAACGCGTCATTCTGCTCTTTTTCTTACACCGTATGTATGTACAAACACAGATGTACGCACGCAAACAATGAACAAATCTTTGTTCGTCCTCACTTGGAACATATTTTTGGTTTCAATATCGTTTATTTTACAACATATTTCTATCGATGGTTCCTCACTCGTGTTACACCGATTTGGTCCGGCTAATAATTGTTATTAGTCGTTGCAGTTCGTGGTGCACGAGTTAAAGGCCGTCGGCTATCCTCGTCCGATCCGTACGTCACTTCTTCATCCGATCCATAAATCACGTCTTCGTCAGAGTCATTGATCATAGAAAATGTCGGGTTATCTTTCGTTATAGAAGAGTCTAAAGCATAAAGTATTAATTTATAAAATATGCAAGATTTTTCATCCACATTTGCGTACAGCTCCCACTCTCCTACGTTGCTTCAAACTACTTACGTTGGCCATACACTTGTTGCTGCGCAGGTGCGTACACGTAAGCCATTGTGTACAAATAAAAATTCAGGAGACCGTACAAAGCCATAAATTGAGCCGAGGAACGATAATAAGTGGTAAGACGAGAAGCAAAACTGTCTTCGAAAATACCAGCGCCAAATTGCCGTGCAGTCACGCAACCGCAAACCGACGAAACGACTCCGGCAAGCAATGTCAGGAAACGTAAACGAAGATCTATAAAAAGAAATTATATTAACAAACGTAACTTCGTCGTTGGACATTGCGTTAGTAAATTGATCGTACCGAAGTAGGGCATGGATCGTAATTCGCTGTACGCTCTTAATATCAAAAGAAGCAGATACGCGATGTAAAAGCCTCCTACCGTGAAGAAAAACACTTTGAAACCCTGCAATCGTGTCACACATTTATTACTCGCTAAAAGTTTTATGCGTCGAATGTAATCGAGTCTCACGGTGACTTACAAAATAATTCGACGTATCGAGTACGTAATTATAAGTGGGATCTTCCAGTTCCGTGCAACGAAGCCACGTTGCCAAGATGAGCGCCGAACACCATAACATACCCACTACCAGAACTTTGGGTAAATAAAAAGTGATGAGGCGCCGCTCGTTCTGTCCAAATACAAATTAATTCATAATTTTACTTTACTCGATGATATATAGGATGTCCCTGTACGACCGAAGAAAGTCTTACCTGTCTGAGACCATGGTAAACGCATAACCAGAACATGAGAACTGCACAGAGAAACGTTGTCTGTAAAATTGCATCTACCATACCGGGTACCCAAGAATTGACCAAGAACGTCATAGGGAACAATGGATCTATAAACACGGGACAAGTTTAGTTTTGCGTAAAGTAGTAAAGTCGATTGGATATTATGCACTCTTACTATTGTATAAAATCAGTAACGGTAGGAGTATAGAGATCCATTTTTGTTCTATCGACCAGTCATGTAGCGGATATTTTCGGAGAGAGTGTCCAAACCAACACTAAAAATGAACACAGTTTATATGGTATTTCGTTTCGCGCGAAGCAACGTGCGAGACACAGCTACCCCTTACCATAACTCCAAACGCAGTCAACAGGAAGATAAAACGGAACCAAATCTCGAACTCCGTGAACGCTGGATTGTAGTTCTTGAACTGTGAACAAAACGGGAACATTCTAAATCGTGATCGTCTCAGTTTAGAGAACTACTATGACGCGATGTTTTATTATTTCGTGTAGAGTGCTTACTGACGTAGAATGTAAGTTCGCGTATGTTATAACGCTGGTGGAAACTCTCGAGCCCGTGGAAACGAACGGTAATAATGTAGTAACTGTAATCGAGGAATCCTAGATGAGCTACTACGATCTCCTCGCACGTTTGCCTTTCGCATTTCAAACGCCTGGTTCTGCGACAATAAACGTACATATCAACAGCATAAGTTTTGCAAAATTCCGTCTCGGTTACTGTTGCTTACCTGTTGTGGCCAGTTTCCGAAGACAGAACGGGCATAAGCTTACGATCGGCGGTAATACCGTCTATTGAGATGCTGATTTGAAAGCTTTTGTCGTATCTTTCATCTGCAAAATTTTAATAACCATTACACTTCGTATCGTACCCACAAATTCCAAATTCTTTCGTTCCAACGCGTCTCCGATACCATCGTTATTAGACGTCAGTAATTTCCCAATGACCCACAATTGTTGACTGTACGCGGATAGTAGAGGAGTTTTCATTATAAAAGGACCGGTAGCCACTTCGCTGCCATTTAAATGAGCTCTCTGTTCGCTCGTGGAAGTGATGGGAGGGCCTATATAAAAAACAAAACAAAAAAACTCTTTTTATAGTATCTGTGTATTATTTTATTAAAGTAGTATTATGGTATAAGCTTACCTGCAAGACCAATAAATACCGCTAATCCGAAACAGGCGAAGAAAGCAACAAACACCATAACAAATTCTCTTTTGTGCATAGAATACAATCGCATTTGTACTGACCTGCGGAGAGAAATTAACGTTATCGCGTAATATACATTAAGTTATCCTTTAACGTTAAATTACCTTTCGCATCGATCATGATGATAAGCAGGTGCAATGTATTTGTTAAACTCGCTAAAAAGATCACTGAACTGTGAGAGAACGTTTCTAACTTTGAGATTCCATCCTGCAGAAGGAAGATGATACGAATATCCCAATCCAGGACCGTCCATTTTTACAATGATCCTGTCGCGGTTAAACAGAATTTTTATTTACAAAAACAACATTTTTATATTTTTCACATGGGAATTATAATCGTTCGAGACAAGTTTTGGGCCGAATGATTAACTAGAGGGAATCAAAAATACGTACCTATACAAGTAGACGTATCATTACCTTTCCATTTAGCAACGATTCTCGATGAGCTTTCGTTCACGATCACGGGGCATTTGTACTTTTACTTTGTCTTGCGAAAATTTTACAAGCTTATTAAGAAAGCATGTTAAACAAATGTTTGATTGCTCTGCAATTAAATCCTACAGCTTTGATATGACAACGCAAAACATTAAATTCGCAATGACGCACGCAACGAAACTGGCAGACATCGTGACTCGCGTACTATTGATTTTCTTACCCGCCATGTGACTGTACAGGGTTGTTACTTCTATAACTGTCGCATTTCACACGACAAGATAGAACGCGTTTAATAATGCGCGTCGATTTCGATCTGCGTCGACTACTTGTCGCTATCGTTAAAGTACAACACGATCTCCAAAAAACGAAAATTACACACCTACGATGGTGTAAGATAATTACAAACAAAATAATCGATAAAACAACAACAGTTTTTTTATGGTCTCATGTCTTTATATTTGTCCGCGGTAAGATTAAAAGTATGTATGTGAAATAAATCTATATACATATATATCATATAAAATACAAGTACACAATTTTGTAAAAACGTAGACGACGACACTTTCAATCCCAATACTTTATTTTTCCATCCCACCCGGCTGTTGCGAGCCTCGAGGGCTCATGTGGGTGCCACAGTACATCAATGCACACGCCATCGTGAGCTTTCCACTTTTTGTACAACTTTGTGGTTTTCCAGTCCCAAATGTAACATTTCCCGTCCGCGTCTCCCGATACGAGGTAGCTTCGAAGGAAATCGGGCACGTAAGTTGCAGCCTGTATTACACGAACGATTTCGTTAAAAGTAATTATCTTACCTCATATCAGGTGAGAAATCTAATCCGCACGCGTAACCAGCAACCATGTGACCCGTGAACGTCTTTTTACGGTTCATTTTGAACCTGTTTAACGCAGAAAATATGACGATTTTATTGTCCATACTTTGGCACGCGAGCCATTTTTGATTTGGAGAAGGCGTGACTGCTGGCATGGAATGCATAGAGGGATCGGCTATGTACTTCATGTCGACTGGTATATCCCTGTATAAAAAAAGCAGATGTTTGTATAATACGTGTCTCCATTAAATTGCAAAATTATCCAACCATCTCGCGATTAAAAAATAAGGTCTTACCATTCCCAAACTCGTAAACTTTTATCGTCCGAGGTTGTAACAAATCGTCGATTTTCATCCACGAACGTTATCGTGTTCACTGCTCCCAAATGCCTATCATATTCTTGCGTTATTTCGCCGGAACGAACGTCCCACTGTAACGCGCGTGTAATTTATTATTACTCGTAGAAATAAAAATTTATAAAATTCTCCGCACGAAGTCGTACGCGTACTGTATTTATAACTCACGCAAATAATCTTTTTATCGCTGGTACCCGCCACGAACAAATGTTGTTTGTCCGGGTCTGGATTAAATTTCACGCAATATGGAATTTTTCTGCTTGTAAATCGACTTATACAAGCCCCAGTCTCCGTATCCCATAACTTCACGTAACGATCGTATCCCGCCGACAAAAATCTCTTCCCGTCGTTGTCGAAGCTTATATCCCTCACAGCTTGACGGTGACCGTAATAAGTCCGAATACATCTTCTCTCTTTATAAACTTCCCATAACTAAACTTAAGATATCATTAATAGAAAAATCAAAAGATTATGCTCGTTAGTATTGTTCCTCTTGCAAAAGCCTTACACATATACACACCTTCACTCTGCAATCCATACCACATGAAAGTAATAAATGTGCCGTGCGCGGGTACCATCTAATTTGAGAAATCCCTTTGGTGTGGCCCTCCCAAGTGTGAATTTGCGCTTTAGGTAGGAAGCACCTATCCGGAGGTGACTCGGATCTCAAATTTACGCCAACATCCTGAGGCGCGTGTAAAAACGATCTTCCTTGATAATCCACACTATCTTTAACTGAAAATATTTTTAAACAATTTTGTCCTATATGTCGCCAAAACTTTAAAAGGGACATTTAAATATAAAAGAGTTGTTATTGTTACAATCAACATACTATGCAGCACTGTCTTTTCTTCAAGAGGTTTCTCTTCAGTTGGTTTACCCCTTCTGTTTCTTTTGGCTAGTATCTCTTCCAGTTCAGCAGCTTCTTCATCTGTTGGTTTTATAACTCGTTTTTCATCCACATATCCTCCCCATGGACCTAGAAATCCTTCAATATCTGCTGGATCATTGTTTCTACATCGTTTTCTCTTATCTAAAGGTCTTAACATTGTACTTTCAAAAACAGTCTTGGCACCACACTCTTCTGCTGCTTCCTTTGCTCCAATAATTGTTCTACCCTCTTCTGCACTACCATCCACAGTCGGATCCAGTGCATAGCCTACAGAAAACATGTTTATTCATACAAACACAAAATAATTCCATTTGATACGAACTACTATAGATAGATGTATGTCATTCCTACATACCATAACTAGCAAAAGTTCTTCTTTGATTTTCAAATTGAAATTCACTTATATGAGCTTTTTCTACATATCCAGAGAGCATATTTTTCGCTGCGCGTTGCTGCTGTGTCTTAAAAGGATTCTCTGGTCCAATGTCTGGGGCAAAAAGTTCTTCAAACTTAGGGTTGTGCATGACTTCATCCGTGGTTGAATCTATATGCCTCACGCATAATTCGGTTCCCTGTGATACATCGGTTGAATCGAACGTTAATGATTACGTCGCAACTGTCATGGAAATGTTTGCGAATTATTTAAGTAATCTGTATAACTTTAATACGACTCGTCAAACTGCATGACAACGTTTAATAAATGTATTAACGAATATTTACCGTTGGTACTACTTCAGGCGCAGAGCAAATCTGCATACTAACTGCCATGGTTAATTTTCCTACGGGAGGGGATTCAACAGTTGATACTTCGTTAGTATCCGAGTTACAATTAACCTCGCTTTTCGCATTCTCGTTATCACTTTCTGCCTCGCTGTTTTCGTCGCTGCTACCGTAATCTTTCAAAGCAAGCATAGTTTTACTGGCACTTGCACGAACGTTGCCAATTAATGAAATTAATTTACTAATTTCTAAACATTCAAACGTAGTATCATTTATTTACGTACATAAAGTATCCCTAAGATAAAAGGAAAAAAATAATAAAGCTAAAACATGAACGAGGTATACAATAGACGCAACATCTAACGGCAGAATGTGTTACAAGGGGCCCCTTGCGTAATATTCTAGAAGCTAATATATTACCAAAGTAACTAAATAAATCTGGTGGCATTGAACTGTACGTGAAAACAAGCTTAAGGCCAGTGTTAGTTGGGCGGCAGACCGAAGCCTAGGGGAAACCAGCAGAAATCGAATTAAATACCGCGGGCAAAATTACAGTACGTATGGTTCTCCAGCAGAGGTCTGTTCAAGCGCACACATGGTATTAGTAATCGTCCAGAGTCGTGGTATTTAAAGCGACTGTAAATATTTCATTATAGTTAGGTTAGAGTGTGTCGATTGTCAAAATTTTGTTCGATTTTGAACACCTTCCTGAATATAGCAACAAATCGGTGATGTTAGAGTTGAAAGAAGATACGTTAGATACGCAAGATACAAAAGATGAAACGCAGACTAATATTTCGGAAGAAGAGAGAAGATCGAAGACGAGCAATGTTGGTAGCGTATCCTGTTTCCTTCCGACCCAGTCCGATGAAGATGACACGATGGTGCGAGACTTGCCAGGAATGAATTTACCCGAGAAAATTTTGTTCGTGATTGACACCATAAGAGAGAAGAATTGCACTCCTTTTAAACTCACCACAGGAGCCAAGTACATGCCTTTGTTTATGATCAAACGGATCGTGGAAAATTTCGTCTGCATCAAATCGTCCATTCAATCTAGCCACGAATATGCATTAATGATTCTAAACACTCAAGGTGTGCACTGGATTTGTGATTTCACCAACAACATTAAGACAATTGTCAATCTGTTAGATACTATTAACGAAGATGTGCTGGAGGAAAATCCGCAGATTTATTGTCTCGGTCAAATGTTTGCGACAATACAATCCAGACTGCTTACACCACCAAAGAAACAGGGTACAACAGTGCCAACATTTGTCAACAGAGTAATTTTGATGTACTCTAGATCGTATTGCGTCCCGATAGTTTACACCGGCAAAACGTTTCTGGAGAGACTTACGGACAATCCGTACTTCTTCATAGATGTGTTATACATACATGAACCTCCAAGTTCAGAGAATTCGTGCGAAAAAATTTACGCAGAGTTAGCAACATTAGAAACAACAAACTTTTCGTATATATTAGAAGTAGGAAGGAATGCTGCTAAATTGCACGATAATATGGCTAAGTTACTAGCTCATCCCCTGCAACGACCGCCTCAGAAAGATACTTGTTACACGATTATTCCACCTTCCAGCTCGCAAGAAATGTATACTAACGTTTGATAGGTTTTGTTCATAGATAATTTAAAAAGATAACATTTGCATTTGTATAAATTTTCTTGTTACAAAATGTACAATGGATGTATAAATTAATTCGCGCAATAATTTCGTGTAAAGTAAGTACATCTGTTTATGAGTTAACATTTACAACAATATGTTCATGGAATGTTTTATACAAAACTTTCCAGCCGTCTATAAAATAAAATTACTTTCAAAATTTAACTAACCATTCATTCGTACATACATATTGTTAAATGCACTCGCTTTGTACAGTACATACAATAATACTCTTCGTCGTATAAAATAGGAGATTGCCGCGCGTGCGCTTACGATACGTTCTTAAAGGATAAAACCTATTACATTAGTAGCGATATCACAGTGTAGGCGTTACATGACTAAATAAAATGAAATATATTGAAATGCAAATACCTATTGTATTTGTTTTTCTCAATCGAGACCAACAACTGAAACGTATCTATTATTGACGCGTACATGTTCGACCCTAAATCTAGACTTTTTCACTGGTAAAAAGAGGGCAATGCGGTAATACATTTTGTTACAAGATCACAGTGTCAGCTTACTTACGTTCGGAACAACTAATCGATATTAATTGTTGCAGTGTGGTACCAAAATTCTATGCAGAAATTAGCGTCGCGTCGGGCCCTGTATAATTTCGAACGTTTCTCGGTCGGCCGTAGCGAAACGATGAATAAATTACTACAGATGATCGAACGATTTATTTCTTACACGGGTCTATAAGCGACGGTGACGAAAATACCGAAACAAAGCAGAAAGTACGAAACGACGGATGTGTGCGTCGAGGACGAGATTCGCAATGTTTTTAGAACTTGGATCATCAACTTGACAAATCGTTGGTTACTGTCGTCGGTAATCTCATTCGTCGTTATGTTCGTGGTGTCCATCGCGCGTCTTTTCGGCCCGTTCGACGGATCGGTCACAGCGTTTTCTATGGGCTGCGCGTTCTCGGGTTGCCAATCACCGCAATTAGGGAAATTACGCGGTACCGGCAGCATGTCTTCATGCTCGCCAACTTTGAAGATCAACGACATCCCGACTTCGGCGTGAAATTCAATGTGACAGTGAAACAGCCAATAACCTGAAGAAACACAGCTTGTAAATTATACTAAGAGCGAGAAGTAGAATAGGTCGGCCTGCGTTAAGAGAAGTAACATATTTCGTTTGCCTGGATCGCAGTGATTATGCCTAGCATTACCTATATTTAATAAGAGCAAAAGTCCATTTTGATGAACGATACGAGCTCATATCGCGCTTTGTTTATATTATAAATTATAATCCGCTTTATCTTAAACGAATCTTTCCCAAAGTGTTTAGCGAATGGAAATATGGTATTTTTCTTAACGCACTTGGAATTGTGCGCATTGTATGTAAAGTATACCTGGATTATTAGCGTGAAATCGTACGATGGTGTAACCACCATCCGGTACGGTTACGGTGTCTTTCAGCGGAGCATGGTCCAGGTTTCTCTGTATCGATCCTTCTTTGTCTAATTTCTTTACGTCTTCGACGGTGACGTTCTCGCCGACTCTGGCCATGGCGATCACGCGGAACTGATATCCGTGGAGATGGAACGGGTGATTCGCGTCGTAAGCGAAGCCTAAGAAGGAACATCGTCGATTAACGTTAAAAAGGAAGGCGGATTAAACGAACGCCGCGGTACTAACCTTCGTCTACCAAAATTAGTTCCACCACGCTGTTGAGTTTCACTTGTAGCACGTGAGTGCACGCACAGTAATCTTGCTCGCAGCCCTGAACCGTGCTCTCGTTGCAAAACCCACTCGTATCGATGGAATCTCTTTGGGGCAATAAAGCCACAGACGGTAACTTCATAGAGATATGATTTAATTGCGGCGTGAGAACCCGCTTTGCAGTTTTTACTGAAAATGTATTTCAATGTCGCGTTGAGAACCAGAACGTTTATGTGCAAATTAAGGTCCACTTTATCATCGGGGCACGTACTGATCGCGTTCTATTAATTTTTCCAGAAACTGTAATTATCCTTTTTCAGTATTATAAACGTCGAACGAGGATTGACCGAGCTCGTTGAAAATTCATTGCCAACGGATCGACCACGAGGCTCGCACCGAGTCTCGTTTACATAGCTGCGAAGTAGGTTTTTTTACGACTATGCAATGGAACGGAATGCGTATTCAGTTACCAGGCTTTGCATGTGTATTATTAATGAATAATTAGATATAGTGATAAAACACTACCAATACGTGTCTCGACCCAAGGGTTGAAAACAGTCATAATATCGGTTTCTAGCCTTGAAATAGTTACGAGAACCGGTCAGAATATCTGTTACGAATATGTATGTCGGTTCTGGTTTGTTTCGGGATAAATGGACCTTAAGAAACCATCCCAGGCGATAGTAATGAGCATACCTTGGTTGAACCCGTACAGTTTACTGCGATGAAAATGTGGATTATCTTTCTTGTAAAAATCGTAAGACACGTAAAATTGGTAATCGGGTTCCAACGTGTTGGACTCGTCGTTTTCGTCCATAGCTTTCAACAAAGGTATACTGACGCTCCTGTTCGTTTCGGTACCTTCGTTCAGAGCGTTTATTTGCTGAAAACGAATCGACGCGCATCGTCAGTTATCAACGATCCCCGTATTTTTAGTAAATTAATAATTAAATGCGATAACACACCGGGCCCAGGGAATCGTTCGACTCGCGTTCGTAGGTGACGTCACCTTCGGGATTCTCTTTGATCGCGCCTTCGTACCGCAATATAGCGACTTGGTATGCTTTGGTGAACCTTTCGTCGCAATCCATCAATCCTCGAAAACGCATCCAATAGTTACCAACGCTACGATTCGTGTTAACGACGAAATCGAATCTCTCGCCGGCATAGCTTACCAGAGACTCGGCTAAAGGACAAAATCATTACACGATCTGTTCGTAAAATCAACGTAACTTCTAAGGTGTAAATCGGGTACCTTCGATCGGCTCGATATCGCGCCCGTCCGAACTGATCACCTGCATAGTGTGACTGTCGATCGACAACTCGACCGGACAATTGAGAAACTCGGCGTTAATAAGCCTGAACCTGTGCCTCGTGTTCTGCGAATACAAAAACCGTCGTGAAATCTTCCATTGATCACGGAAACGCAAACAGAGACTTTGTTTCAACGTTTACCGGCTTGACGACAAATGTAGCGATCGGCGTCGCGGCAGAAACGTTGTTTCCGCCTCTGGTAACCGCGAAACGGCCCAAACCGTTGATCAATATGTTAGGCGGCTTGTTGTTCCCGCCCGCGTGGTAATGATTCAAAAACACATCGATACCCAACCTGTGGGTCCAATCTAACACCTGTATCGTGTGATCGTCCACGTCGTACAAACTGTTATGCCAGTTCGCGCCGGGAGGCACGCGAACTATCAACGGTCCGAACACTCCGTCGCCTCGTTGGAAACCTAAAGGGGAATTCGAGTTTTAGAAACTTTGTAAATTTCGGTACGTCGCGCGGCGGGCCAGAATTGAAATTACTCGAAAATGCGTGTAATTATTTTTTTTATCGTACCGCGAGAGTTCAAATTTTGGCCCCGCGCGCGAGATCGCAGCGTGAAAGCTGCGAAGAACGGATAACAGAACTCGTCGTGATAGTTAGTTGAATCCGTTAAGCAACAATTTGTAACGAATCGTACGGAACCGCACCTAGATGCGAATGCCAGAAATGCGTGCCTGCCTCTGTAGCAATATAATCATACCGAAAACTCGATCCGGGCAGTATCGGGCATTGCGACACGTATGGTACACCATCCATGTACGGTGTTTTAACGTGGTGTTGCCCGTGCCAATGCATCGTGGTACTCTCGGAATGAAACAAGTTCATTACGTCCACTATTACCCTGTCGCCTTGGCACACCTGCGAACAACAACCGCCGGTATTCATTAACAAACCGCGCTGTGCGCAATTCGATTTCTATTCAAATCGGCTCTCAAGGATTTCCGCGATGGGAAGACAATTTTCCCGTCGGCGGCGTATTTATTATATCGCGAATGGTGCCGGCTCACGTGGCCCGAGTAATATCATTTCCACTCGGGCGATACGATCGGAAACGATTTCGCGAGGAAAATCCTTCGAAATAAACGAAAACAGGCATGCGCGTCGAAATATTTATACAGAAACGGAGACTATAGAGAGAAAAAAAAAATGAAGAAAAATTGACCGTGGTCGCGTATTCGTTGGACGCGAGAGTGAAAAATTTCCATCGAGCGTCGGTAGCCTTGACGCGAATCTCTAAATCCTTCGGTTACGTACCTCGATCGGTGGCCCCGGCATTTGTCGATTTACCACCAGAATCGGCCTACCGATCCCGTCCGCCGGGATGCAGTGCATCCGAGAGCAATCGGTGATATTGAACGGGCAATCGTAACACGCTTTGCTCATCGTGTTGTAAGTCTCCAATTTAAAGACGTAATTGCACTCCATCGACGGTGCACCGTCTTTGCAATCCCTCCTACAGGGATGCTCCCTCCAATTTATCTCGTCTACTATCTCCGGATCGATGTTACCGAATTCGAAATCATTGTGCGCCGTTATGATCGTTTCTAGAAAGAACGACGATGGATTATAATGTATTCGACAAAGTTTCGAGTTTGTTAAAAGAAAGTCTAACGCGGAAAGAATTCGTTGCACGCGTGCTGGTTTAACGCTCTCGCTTTGGTCGTTTTTCTTCTATTTCTTTTCACTCACCCGCGTTGCAGCCGTGCAACAGCACGGAAAGTTGTGTCAGCAGAAGTATCGCGTTACCGTACGTCATCGTTGTGTATCGGCAAATTTCACGCGCGAATCGGTACAGGTCCTATCCCGGCTCGTGTCGGCCCGCGAACGAAATCGGCGTTCTCACGACTCGCGGTTAGGTTTCAATGCGACCGCGGGGCGCGGTGAAAATTTTTCATCGGCGTAGAAAATTGCACAGGCATCGTGCACACGCCGACGCGTTTGGCAAATAGGTTTGGCAAATAGCTGGGAAACAGATGCGACGTGTTTTCTCCCTTATCTAATCTGTGTACGGCGAGAAAATCTCCCGACAGACGTAGAATTTTAAATTCGGATCCGACAGCAGTGTACGCGACGACTACGTCAACCCCTCGAGCCAGAACCGGCGTCTCGTTGAAAGTTCTCGGAAAGAAGCCACGAATCCTCGACTGTTATCGATAAGTTCGGTATAGTTGGGAATCCGGCGCGTTCGACGAAGCTCTTAAGAATTTGTTCTCGCGATCGGGGCCGGTGAAACTGAGAATTCCGCCGTTTCCACCGTGGATACTGCTTGTGTCGACGAGTGTCACAATCCCTCGTTGCGTTGCGCGCGTAATATGGTGCTGATCGTTCAAAGAAACGAAAGTTGCAGGATGAAAAGAAAATCGGTCACGACGGAACACACGGGGCTTCGTTCTGTCTCCGTTGCGCCGCTATTCTTTTCTCGCGTCTTCCGTGCACCGGGTGTTCGTCCTTAGCGCGCACTGACTGGGTATGTAAAATCGGCGACGCTTTAAGGAAGACTGGACCAATGCAACGCCGTACGTCTCTCTATAGAGGAATTCCCTGGAGGTCACACGTACCCCACGAATCGTCTACGGTCCTGTTACTTTACCACTTTACCCAGTTTTTTAACACGCGTGCAGAACGAGTTACGAGCAACGCCACCGTGCGCGTATCCCGTCCATTCGCGCTCGTTCTTCCCCCTGCGGGCGTATGGGGATTCCCACCAATGTACCCGATCGCGTCAATCCGTATCGATGACATTCCGAGGTGGTTTTCCTTTTGACGCGCGTGAAACTTTCAACAAACTGCGCGTCGGGTTCGTTCGGTGCAAAGAAAATCGGTACGACGAGGCTGACGTTCGATCGAATACAATAGCGTTTCACGGTGGATTCGTGGCTCTTTTTCATCTCGCGTTTTCGTTGACGTTGTTAAAGTTATTGCCCGACGGGGCACGATTTCAATTTCGCAAGGAACGTGTCGGACGCGTCGATGCATTCGCGGTTGTATTTATAACTGTCGTCGCGAGTTTCCATTCAGGCGCTGATAGGACACGGGCCATAGTATTCAGCGTACACGAGGCACGCCTCGATTTCATCCTGAAAAAAAAACATTCCTCGAATAACACAAATATTTAAACAACGTTGAAATTGTAGAAAAAAAAACTCGGCTACGAGGAAGAACGATTCACTCGTCTCCGATGAAATCATACCGTAACATCTCGATTTAACGGACGGGATTCCCCCCACCGTGCATCCCCAATGTATACCTTTTATTTTAGGATTACATCACCTTCGGCTAGCACGGTGTTAATATTTCTCTAAAAATGAATAACAGTTTTAAGGATACTTTTACTTATCGAGCATTACGCCTTCGTTCTTAAGTCCGCCAAATGGACTTTACCGTGTTGTCTAATGGAACGCGATAAGAAATATTTCGTTTTACAGCCAGGATTAGCACTTTGCCAGTTAATCGTACGATACTGTTTCGTCCATATAATTTCAGATAACGAGAATCATTTTATTCTGACGTCCGCGGCGTGGAACGTGAGACATCGATCGCCGAACGGCAATGTTAATTGCCACGCGTCCTTAAAGCAGATCGGACATGGATTTTTTCGCGTAATCTTGACGCAGGATATCATTCAGGCATACGTGTCACGGATTTTCCGGTAGCGCGTGCCACGTGACACGGTGCCTGATAGTTTTTAATTTCTGTCGTACATAATTAATGATCTACCGTGACGATTAAAAGTTACGATTTAATATAGAGTCGCGCGACGTCAAGTACGACGTTTATTTTAAACACGGATAATTTCTACACGCGTACAACACCAATGGACACTCGGTAATCGCGTGTAATTACACATCCTCGTGGCTCGATCGAAACAATGAGATTTTTTGCTATCGTTTAATCGTCTGAACAGATATCAGATCATCTCGCGGAAACGGAGAGAAAACATTTAAATTACGCGAACGATGTTCGATGGTAGCGTAACACCGTTGTGCAATTCCGTGCGTTTGGAAGAAATTTTGGTCACGAGGAGGAGGAGGAAATTATACAAAATTCGTCGCAGATCTAGCAACGTATTCGTTTACAGTAATCGACGATGATAAAATCGTAGAACAAAAGGAAACGTTATGCATTATTCTCACGCGTTTTCAGAAAAATATGAGCAGTGTAGATCGGGATGAAAAGTAACAGGGAGCGAAAGTAGCTAGTCAAATATTGTAAAATACATTATAGACACTTACGCAAGTGTTGGTTCCAGAGGATCCAGTCTAACAATCGTCTTTCTAACAGTCTATATTAGCGATAGTCACGTGGAGCTAGCAAACCGTAGTTGCGCAAAATGTAATCTACTTAACAATTACCGATTACGATTAATCGCAGTCGGTAGGAATTATATTCTCCAAGTATAATTGCCATTGGTATTGCAACCAGCAGTGATCGACGACTGCAAACTGCAATTTGCAGTCTCATTACATTGTACGTAAAGTGAAAAAAAAAAAACTAATAATAAACGATTAAAAGTAGAGAATAAAAGAATAAAAGTCAACGATTGTTTTCTGTGTCATACTTGAGCATTCACTGACACGCATCGGCTGTTGCTGAAAGCGTACGATGAGCTCGTACGTAGAAATGCGTGACAATGAACGGTTTATGGCAGATTAGGAAGACATTAACGACGATGGTCGCTCAGGTTTCCCGTGAACGTGAATCACCGAAAAGTCCGTTCGAAAACATGCGTGAAGCAACGAAATTTAGCTAAATACTTCCGCGCGATTATTGAGGAACTAGTCGAGATTGACGCAAATCGAATGACGCGATTCGTTTACATTTCAACCGAGTATTTAAACGTCATAGAATTTCCAAACTACTTCAGATCGAGTCCGTGATTCTTCCAAACATGCTCCAAAGTCAAACTGTTACTTTCGACCCCGGTCTGCCTTACATGGACATACGCGAACACGCTGCTCTCCGATTGCGTAGACAAGTAACGGACGAAGATGAATTTACTTAACACCGGAACTAGTTTCTCCTTTTTACAAGGAGAATTGCCACGAGTACGACGAAACGAATTCTTAAAACAGGATATTTCACAAAAAAGAAAAAAAAGAAAAAAATAGAATAAGAATAAACTCCGTCGTTGTGGCAATACGCAGGATTCACTTTCGAGAAAACGTACTTGCCAAACGAGTTTCGGTATCATCCAGTATGTTTGTCGATTCGAATAGAAAAAAATAGTCTAGACAAGAACTCTGGATCGCAGCGTGGGACGAAAAGAAATACAAATATAAACGGCGAGAGGAGTAAGGTAACTCGTCGGTGATAGGACGCGAGGCGAAAGAAAATAGAAAAGGACGCACGAAAGTTTACGTAAGATCATCAACCTTCACGCAATAACGGTGTCGACGAAGATGACAACGCAACAAGTATCGTACAAGCCACAAGGACGCGCAAGAACGTTCCCCTCGATCACTTTCGGTGACTCCTCCTCCATCGTTGTACCATACGCACGTTATACATATACACGCGCCTGTTATCTTCTCACTTTCAGAAAAATATTTCTCGCAGAGTCCCGGGTAGATCATTGTCTTAGTTACCTGCGATTTAAGATATCCTCGTGAAACGAAATTGCCCACACTATAACGTGCAAACAGAAAGAACAGTAACGAAGGTCATAATTACAAAAGAGGGACTTACTCCCGTAAAGTTACAAACACGCTTCAAGTTCCTTACCGTGCAGCAATTAATATTAATGAACAAACAAAGTGGATATCTATGTTCGTTCGCCCGTGTGTGCGGCGTTGTATCTCAAGAAAATTAATGCCTCGTTTTCTAAAAAAAGGAAACACGTAATTGGAAATATAATTTATTAGTTTATGGAAGTTTTAAGACAGCGACGTAGCACAGGAAATGCTAAATAGGAATATACTGCTTTCGTAAAGATCATTACACACGCTCGTAAGGCATATGCGTTGCATTCCATATATTGAGATAATACTTCACATTGCGAGAACGTGAGAATGCTTTATCGTTTGCTTTTTAAATGTGTGAGGAAATACTGCGGTAAAACGAGTTGTTTCGTCACAGACGAGTAGTATAGGACAGGTGTTACCATCCTATGAAACTGAAGTACCGACCGCGTTTTAAAGCGCACTCTATATTAAAAAATGGTTACCCGGGAAACCATGTCGAACCCAACCACCGTAGTTGATAAAGATAGTGAACGTAAAAAAAATCATCCCCAAATCTCGTCTGTAGTACCACAGACGAGGTAGACGAGTAGACCTTTCATCTAATGTATTTTTTTCGGCCCGTTTCTCTAGGGCCCCGGGACCCATTAGCATTTCCGTGTCACTCGCAACGTTACCAACAAATTCAGAAATGAATTTTAATCTCTTCCATAGCCAACTCATATGTATTTACGCAACACTACAGCTGTTCTAAACCATAATGTACAAAAATGTATTAAAATACAATGATACATATGTCATAAGTACCTAACGGTTATAGGTTATAATATAAAACGATAATTATTATATAAATATGGTACAAAGTTTAAATAACATGAACAAGAGAAGAAGATGCGATTACCAACGACAAGATTAATTAGACACATATGACATGTATTCACTTTTTCGAAACCTTGTGCACGCATGTAAACATATTTATCAAATGGTGGACATTCGTAAACCAAGTTCACTCTTTTACTACACGATACCAATGTGCATGAAGTTAGTCAATTCCTGTCAACGTAAAATTCGTTACAAAGGGCCAAAGCGTGCACGTTGGCATGTTCAATGCACAACAGTATTTTGTTATTTGACAGTGCAAGCACCGACTTATCGAACATTACAAAATGACTGATATTATACAAGGAACGTGTTTGTTAATGTGCCCAGAGAAGGAACGTTGGATGTAAGTCAGCCCTGTTAATAATTATATCTTCAATTCTTGGCAACTATTTTGAGAAATATAGATATAGAATCGTAGTAAGTCCCTTTTAACATTTACCCTTTTCTGAACAAAGGAGAGAGAGAGAAGGTTTGCTACATAGATTCGAAATCGACGAGAGCACGAAGGCAAATAAAAGACCAAAGGCCGATCCAATGAAAACTGTAAAATGCTTCGGTCGTCCAGCAGCCGGGTTAGTTATGACCGATCCCGATCAACTGCGTCCTGCACCCGTATTGTTATCAACGATTAGATACTTGTTCACCAGGTGTGTTTAAAAATCATGATCCCTTCTTACGATACATGGATTCACATCGGTCTCGATAGAACTTAGCGGCGTATTTCAGAATAGCTACGCGATCCGACGTCGATTGGATAATAGTATACGATTTTATCTTCGATCGTTTGAGGGCGGTTAGACAAGACGTTGCGATCCAAAGGATTGATATTTTTACAAGTATTCGGATCTTCGAAATGATCGTTCGATTTTTAGTTTATTCTGCGCAAAGGTACGGTCAATATTTTTTTATTCAGAGTCGTGCAGGATGAAGAGTACATGATACAGCAGTACAGAACACGTCGAGAAACAATTGCAGATTATGCGATCGAAGTATCTACGAATTTAATCCAAAAATGAACTATCAACACCTTTCTGAATGTATAACTCATCTGCTTGTCCTGTATGATGACAATGATTTGAATGACAAAGGAGATTGCCTAGAACTTGATAGATGTATGGAGAAGTTGAGCCTGTACGATGATAAACAGCAAATGGAAGCGTTGTACATTCTTTTAAATATGGGTAATGTTGAAGCTTTAAGAAGAGCATTAAATCTCCCAAGCGATTTAAGGTATATAAATGGTGTGATTAATATTTTCTTTTTCAAGATAAACATTTTCATCATTTTTCTAGAAAATCGTCAGACGTTCAATTATCAATGAAAATATCATTCGCCTGGTACTTGAAAAATTACGCGCGTGTTTGCTCGTTGATTCAACAACTTTCTCCCTTGCTCGTCTGCGCGGCTGTAACCAACTTACAAATCATAAGAAAGTATATAAATTTTGTTGTGTTTTCAAGCACAAGTATCGGATTTGAATGATAATTAAAAAATATTCGTGCATTAACGAACGTTTCAGAACAGCATTGCAAATAATGAGCTCAGGATATAATAGCAAAGTATTGACATTCCCGGGATTGAAATTACAAGAGATTCTATTGTATAGAGACATAGAAAAAGTCCGTGCAGATTGCGAACTATTCGGACTCGCGTTTACAGACCAAAATATTCTATTTCAAAAAACGAATTTCAAAAACGAAGTGCAATCGGTAAGAAAAAAAATACACGTTTTGCAGCTTGATAATTCACGCTCGATACAAGAACATTATTTTGTATTTTAGACGAATCCAGAAATGTATTATACCCACCAATCGCTACACAATTTTTTACCGCAAATTCTTCTTAAATCCATGTAACGCTTTTACAATAAAAATACAGAAATAGTATAAAAAGCACTATACACTACAATAAATTTGTCATTTGAAAAATCCAGTTGTTTGTAGAAAATGTAGTTCTCTCTTTAATAACAAGTAAATAAAGCTTGGTCCATACTCTAGCATTATAAATCAGTGATCATTGAGAGTCACTGGAGGAACTACTTGAAGAATCTGTAGACATAACTTCTACATCCTCTGTTTCCTGTTTATGAGTATTCATAGCAACACTTCCTTGACCACTCACTGACATATGAATTTCGCCAGAAGGATGCCATGCAAATTGATTGGCCTGTGACACTGGTGGTTCTAAAATAACAACATCGATTTGCGTGTGTGCCTAAGAAATAAAATTCAATACAAAGGTATAGAATTGATTTTATCAACTTACCACCCACAGGATGCCCAGCTCTGTGCAAATCTGCTGGTATTCCAGGGTGGGAACCTAACATCTGTCCATTCAAAGGAAGATCACTTAGTCGTCCAAGATATCCCAATCTCATTTCGATATCTATGAGAAGCATGCTCAGACTTATTCGATGCTTAGGCAGAAATCGACAAGAAACACAAGTAGAAGAAATTCACCCGTGGGATATGGTCTCCTAGGATCTCCTTGTTGCCATGTAAGTGGTGCACAAATAGCGTTTGATGCACTTATTCTGTGTGCATACTTGATCAGTTCCTCTGAGGGAACTGGCCTCTTATTGGCGCGAGCAATGGATTGTAGCTTTTGTTTTGCTTGATAAATAGCTGTAGCTAGAATTTGTTCAGCTTCTTTTAATTGCTGCTGTAATTGCCGAATATCTTGATCTTGCCTTTCAACCTCTACTTTTAATGCTTCCATTTTTAAATTAATTTTCGCCTGTTCAGCAGCACGTTTCAAAGTCGCTTTTAACTCGTCGTCTTTGGCAATCAGTAATTCAGTCAGCTGAGCGTGTTCCTCGCTCGAGAGTTTCGATAGCTTTTGAGCGATTGTGTTTTCTATCATTTCTCTAAAACGATGCAAGGTTCATAACAATAGAATTATACTATTTGGCGCGATAATTTCGAATATTCGTAGCTCATTTGTGCCTTACTTTGTTATTAGTTCGATGTCATCGATAAGAGATAACAAAACCTCTCTGGTGCTCTTACCAGAAGCCATTTTTTCCGACGATGCAATCGAAAATTAATAATATTATTTAAGGTGAAACTGTGGAATCTGTTTCTAACATCGTGTGGTATTTCGGTGGTCGCAATTCATGTTAAACCGCAAATTAAACGATCAATTATTAATTATCCGATACAACGTGAAACATTTCCAAAGCTTTTTAACGTCACCGACAACCTGTGTTTATGCGTCACATAGAGGGGCACAAGTTGAAGAAACGTACGTTAGGCAGTGTACATCAACAGAGACACTACTAACGACGAATTTCCTTAGCATCTAACGGACTTTTAATTCTAAGTCGATTAGACATAAGCCACATTACGAATTTTAGAGTTAAAATTCTTTTTATTTTAAAATCTTCCAAAATATACGCATGGAATTTCAGGGCAACATTTCTAATCTCATATTATATTTTCGGAAAAGAATTTTTTTCTCGAAAGTACGTAGGATTTCGGGGGTATGTCTATCGACCAAAAATGACTGCAATTGACCCTCGCAACCGAAAATAATTTTTCCAGAATGATTTGAAATATTTTAATTTTGTCGAAAAATTTGTCTACCTATTCGAATTTTTTTCTCGAAAGTACGTAGGATTTCGGGGGTATGTCTATCGACCAAAAATGACTTCAATTGATCCCCACATCCGAAAATAATTTTTCCAGAATGATTTGAAATATTTTAATTTTGTCGAAAAATTTGTCTACCTATTCGAATTTTTTTCTCGAAAGTGCGTAGGCTTTTGGGGGTATGTCTATCGACCAAAAATGACTGCAATTGACCCCCGCATCCGAAAATAATTTTTCCAGAATGATTTGAAATATTTTAATTTTGTCGAAAAATTTGTCTACCTATTCGAATTTTTTTCTCAAAAGTGCGTAGGCTTTTGGGGGTATGTCTATCGACCAAAAATGACTGCAATTGACCCCTGCATCCGAAAATAATTTTTCCAGAATGATTTGAAATATTTTAATTTTGTCGAAAAATTTGTCTACCTATTCGAATTTTTTTCTCAAAAGTGCGTAGGCTTTTGGGGGTATGTCTATCGACCAAAAATGACTGCAATTGACCCCTGCATCCGAAAATAATTTTTCCAGAATGATTTGAAATATTTTAATTTTGTCGAAAAATTTGTCTACCTATTCGAATTTTTTTCTCGAAAGTGCGTAGGATTTCGGGGGTATGTCTATCGACCAAAAATGACTTCAATTGATCCCCGCATCCGAAAATAATTTTTCCAGAATGATTTGAAATATTTTAATTTTGTCGAAAAATTTGTCTACCTATTCGAATTTTTTTCTCGAAAGTACGTAGGCTTTTGGGGGTATGTCTATCGACCAAAAATGACTGCAATTGACCCTCGCAACCGAAAATAATTTTTCCAGAATGATTCCGAAATTTTCACCAACGTAACAAATATGTGCATTACCAGCAACTTTGAGATAAGCAGGAGGAAATATTCACCGACCCAACCTCAAATAAACGATTACGACAAGAATATCTTTCGCACAGTGTTCTTCTATAAGAACATGAGAATTAAGAATAATATCGACAATAGTCTGAGAAAAAGAATGAACCATCAGAAGAAATACGGAGGAACGTCTTGTAATCGTCAAAGAAAAACAAATTATATACAAAATTAATTTATTTGTTGCATATACGTGCATTGAAATATGAATTTTAAAATGAAATATAAAAAATATTAATTATAACATGACTCGTACATGTTCAAATTTTACACGCGAATAACTATTATTACATTGTTACAACATAGTTTCTTCAAATTTTCGTTGCTGAATAACGCGCGAGAAAATTGTAACCTGAAAACACTTAATGAAAAATGTATACTTCTGCATTTATTTCTACTTCAAGTACCATTCCCGCTTATCAAATTACGTCAAGAACATAATGACGTGTCAGAATGACATAATTTTAAGATCGAATACAATTCTTTTTATCAATCTTTGACGATAAAGATAGTATTCCTGTTGCCGATATCACGCTTGCTTCATTGCTTACGTGTCAAACATTAAGGTATAATACTTATTTTTTCTTACAATAATATGTAATTTTTCTATTTATTACTATTAAATTATGTACTTATTTCATCTATATTTTATAATATGTAGTATTTTGTATATATGAACAATATTATCAATGTAACTTGGTAAGAACTTATACTTTGTAGAATTTAATTTTAAATAAAACATAGGAATGTTTATTATTTTATATGATTCATGCATAAAACGCGAAATAATCCTGTATAGACATTATTTAAAGTTTCCATGGAGCTGTTTCTTTGCATTTTAAGTAGCATTAGCACATCTTTAGCACTAAATGGTCTCTAACATATTAGTTTGTTTTTTTTTAAATTAGAAGTTTAATAACTGTAGAATAATATATTCGAAATAATAATCAGAACAGCACGAAAAAACAATGACAAACAAATCTTGGAATGTACTGGTGACGGGTGGTGCTGGTTACATTGGTTCTCACACAGTTTTGGAACTATTACAAGCAGATTTTAAGGTGGTGGTAATAGACAACTTTAGTAATGCTTATAAAGGTGAGGAGTAACAAATCTAATTGTAACAGGAAAATAAGGGCCTATGATAGTACGAAGAGCCCAAAATAAAATTATATTAACATCTGTTAATCTTAATTTTATATAAGTATTTCTAGTTGCAGCTATATATTTAATATATATAGTATATATTTCTCTTCATAGCTAGAAAATGAATTATAGGAATATAGCTTTATCTTTTACTTGTAGGAAATAATGATACAAAAGCAGAATGTCTGGTGAGAGTTGAAAAAATAACAAACAAAAAAATAACATTTATTCGTTGTGATATAACAAATATCAACGAATTACGAGATGTATTTAAAGAGGTACAATTAAAAATTTTGTTGAGCATTGATTGAAACATGTATCTGAAATTGTTGCTTGTATTGCAGTATACTTTTCATTGTGTCATACACTTTGCTGCTTTGAAAGCTGTGGGTGAATCTTGTGAGAAACCACTGGAATATTATGAAACAAACGTTGGTGGGACACTGAATTTGTTAAAAGTTATGATAGAGCACAATGTAAAGCGTTTGATTTATTCAAGTAGTGCCACTGTTTATGGAACTCCCGAAAAGCTACCATTAGGTGAAAATATGAATACTGGAAATTGCACAAATCCATATGGAAAGACAAAATACATGGTTGAAGAAATTTTAAAAGATCTGTGTATTTCGGACAAGGTACCATGCTTCCTTTATTATTCATTTACAATATAATTAAATATTTGTCACAAAGGAGTTTTTAGGCATGGTCAATTGTATCTCTAAGATATTTTAATCCAGTTGGAGCTCATTCCTCTGGACAGATAGGAGAAGATCCTAACGGAATTCCAAATAATTTAATGCCATATATTGCTCAAGTATCTGTTGGAAAAAGGGAAATGCTATATGTTTATGGTAATGATTATGATACCCCTGATGGAACAGGTAAACGGCTTGATAAAATTACTTTTCTGAAACAAAAAACAGATTAATTTATGACATGTAATTTATAGGAGTCCGTGATTATATTCATATTATGGATTTGGCAGCAGGCCATGTAAAAGCAATGATTTATCAAAAAACTCGTAATCCGACTGGATTTAAAGCAATTAATTTGGGTACTGGAAAGGGTTATTCTGTACTTGAAGTTATACATGCATTTGAAAAGGCATCAGGACGAAAAATACCGTATAAAATAGTTGGTCGTAGACCAGGAGATATAGCTGCCAGTTATGCAGATGCTGGCATAGCTAATAAGGAATTAGATTGGCAAGCCACGAAAAATATAGATGATATGTGTAAGTTGCTATACAAGCAATTAGGTACTTTTAGCGCGATGAAAGATTTTTTTGTTAATTTTACAACTTGTAGGTATAGATACATGGAAGTGGCAACAAAATAATCCAAATGGTTACCAATCTTAACCATAATCACTGATCAGCCAGTTAAACATTCTTAAATATTCTAATAAACTTTATTTTTTTATTATGTTATTCAAATGTAAGCCATGGTGGTGTCTAGTTACCAAAGTTTAGACCAAAGCACAAGGTAGATTGATATTTATCTAATATTAAGTACATGCAATAATTTCTACTTTCAAAATCAATTCCAGAGGATATAATGGTTATAATTATTATAAATACGTTTGATCGATCTGTTCCTTAAGTAATAGTCATTCAGATATGAATCAAAAAATATTTGATGTTTAGTATTAAATTATTGTGCCATATAATTTATGTACCTGTATTAATTTCAAAAATTGAATATCATTATTGATATAGATACAGATATTCTATATCTGTATATATCTGCATATATTTGTATTGTTCTAATGTGCAATAAATATTAATTGTATAGACCAAGGTGCTATAAAAAGAAAGAAATTTCTTTAATAGAGAAAATATTTTATTTTATTATGAATTTTGCATTGGTATACAGCGATCGTATGTTTCTCGGATTCACTCCTTTTATCGGTTTTAGCTTTTTCATTTTCATATTAGTAACAATAATTAAAAATATTTTTCGATTGCACATGCTTTGGCCGCCATTTCTTGATAAGCTTGGACGTTTTGCCATAGAGGGCGCCTTGGGTACACACATTACTAAGCATTATTTTAGTTCAGTCGTATGGTTGGTAGGTAGTAACTAGTAACAGCTTTTTTGTTAGTCTGCGGCGACGTTGAAACGAGTAGTTAGTGAATGAATGAAAGACTAATTTGTTAGCAGTGTTTTCAAAGCTAGTGAAGTTGTTTAGTGCGATTTGTTTTGATCCGACATGACATCGGTTAAAGATTTGACGAGGGAAGACGTACAAATCGAACCGCCCTGTACCGAAAATTCAGCAACAGATCGCAATTCAAGATGTGGTTCGCCGAAACGCGGAACTACACTTTCAACTAGCACAAGTAGCTTCGAGGCGCTGGATCCTCACGATCCAAATCTAAGTCGTTTAGCCAATATGATGTTTAAAAAAACCGGTGAATATTTGCAAGAAGAACTAACTTCTACTCACGCCGACTATCGCTTGTTAGAACGATTAAACAAAGAGACGATTGCGAAGTATACCGAATTGAAAACAATATCTTCCAGCGTAGCTCAATCTTTAGAATCATTAAACGAAAAATATAAAAAATTGCAACCGATCTTGGATAACATCAACGAGATTGACGACAGTGTAACTAAACTGGAACAAGCTGCATATAAATTAGCAACGTATGCCAAACGATTGGAAGCAAAATTTAAAGACATTGAAAAGGATACGAGAAACAAATAAGTCTGTGATACATAACGTAATATATACGAAATATAAGTATATTCATATACTGAACGTTACAATAAAAGTGAGTTAAATACTGGAAGAAAAATAGGATTGAAATTTATAACATTTTTTGTGATAAATGGATTTATTTAATTGTATGTATATTTATATAAATACTGTACATATTTGACTTTACAATTACCGATATGTAAAGTGAAAATTTGTAATTGATTCAAATGTTATAATATTCGTTGTTGAATTATGAAGAAAATAGAGAAATCTTTATTTATAATTATGTGTCTTGTTTGTTTAGGTAAATAACAGTGAAAAATAACAGCAACCAATTCGCATTCTTATAATTAATTATATTAAAGTACAGTTGCACGCACACACATATAAAGAATCTGTAAAAGATTATTGTGTTGCGTGTTGCCTTACAATATATCACATAATATATTTCAATTTTGTAGTCAACTATTTTCTAAGTGTATTGTGTGTTATTTATGAATCTACATGCTACCACTTTCTCCTTGCAAAGTATAAGATATTACAAATTTTGCTATAGAATAATCTACAGGAAATAATTTATGATGTTGATAAAAGAAAAAGAAAAAAATAAATATTCTTAAATGTAATGGAAAAACATAACTATGGAATTATAACAATACACAATGTTATTAAACACAAGACTTCTGCTACTGTACAATGTACCGATTCGATGCCATTTATAATATTATATTAACATTTTTGATGCAGAAGTATTCAGAATACGATAGTTTATTATATCATTGAAATATGCGATGAATGCAGTCAATTATAATTTGTTTCCTATACATAAGCAACGAGTTTTTAATTGCTTGTTAATTGAAGTTCATACAATGCTTGTTAAATGTTTAGCACTTGATAAGTATTAAGAAATTTTCGAATTTATGTTTGTGAGTTTTGCCATTTGATAAACTTTAATTATTTCTTCTTACAACAACAAAAATAATACACTAAATATTTCAACATTGCATTCAATATCGTAACGATGCATCAGTGAACCTCAAAGTAAAATCATAAGAAAAAAATTTTTTTAAAGTTTAAAACTAAATTGCTCCTAATTACCGGTATTGTTTAATTGATCTTAACAATCTAAGAAATTTCCAGCCATCAATAATTCTAATGCAATTTCAGGTGCAATAGGAAATTCCGGTATTTCGGTACTGCTATTCGTATAACGTACTTTATAAGTAAAATACATGCAAACCTTTTGTAATACATGAGAGCTGTAAGTAAAAGATAGTTTCATATATATAGATACACCTATATAGTTTTCAAATATATCGAAATATTATTTTAAAACGTAAATAATTAACTTACGGGATTTCACGGAAATTAACCTCATTGGCTTCGTTTTCGGCAAATTGTCCGGGACCACTTAACATAGCCTTTATGGTTCCACTAGTCAAAGCATGTTCACGTTTAATAATAAATTCGTGTCCATCACTGCTCACTAGTTTCACATACATCGCGTCTGGTCCTTCGCATCCTCCATAAATTTGTCCACTTTCTTGCTAAAATTTTAGTTCATTACATACATTATGTTATAGTAGATATAGCTTTAAATATTACATTGGTAATTCTAACTACTCTACAATGGGAACTATTGTTAGTAACAAAAGACAGGGAAAATAATTTAAAAAAGTATTGAAAAAATTAAAAAAAAGAAATCATTAAGCAGCAAAATTTTAATTTGCAGAAATAGGTACCGCATGCAGGTCAATAGATGAACTGCCTTCTTCTTCTTCTGCATTTTTGACAGTTTCTTCCTCATTGGGCTTGATCCAAAGAAAAATTAGCATTAATCAACAAATTGTTTACCATAATTTTCCTGTTTTCCAATTAGAGGAATCAATGAAATTTCAGTCATGATAGCAGCCCAATCATAACTGTGTGTAGTTTTCTTTTAAATACATTTCACATATCCCAGTTGTCATGCATAAGTTAGGCATGCATAATATTTTAAGAAAAGAAAAACATACCTTTCCGGCTTGCATATTCATATCATTCGACATATTTCTGTTTTATTGGGTGTATAGTATTTCTAAAACGAAGGAAGTTATTATTTGTAAGTAAATTATTCTGTTGTGTAGAAAAACGAAATATGTACTTCAAAAGATTTTTCTATCAAGTCAGTGTTTACGAAATGTTTCCTTGAATTACAATTTTAGATTTTAAATATTTTATTTAAAGAAAGAAAAATATATATGATGGTCTATTAATAATATGACATTTCATATGCACCAACCTAATGCATTGTCATTCAATCATGAAAGATGTAATTATTTCTGTTTAAAACTGAGCAACTATGATACCATTGAGTCCTAATCCCCACACATTTCCTTAATTGTAATGCAAGGTCAGTTTTTACTCCATCGTTCGTGTAGACGTAAAGGTTACTCTGAACGTTAAGACATAACGCGTCATAATGGATTCAATATTAACCACAAATATTATGAATCAACGTCGATGTATACCCATAATCGAACACATTGTAAAAATTTTAATGGAGAAATAATCATGAGAGGGAGATCATGCATGAAAAGGAAAACAAAGGAATATCTGTTACGTTTAGCGTAAACTGTGTGCTAACAATTGCAACTACTTGGGATGACAAAATTGAACGACGTATTTTTCGCCGCGTGCCGCGTAAAAACAAAAAAGTTATACATACCTTGTTGGAAAATGTGTTTCTATAAAATGTAGTCTTTTCGTTCACGATAAAGTTTTCTTAATAAGAGCAATGGCAATTAATATGGCTACTAGCAATGTCGTGTTCAGTTCTCGATGAGTCGAAACTACTCCATCTTCAGTTTGATTTGACGCCACGATTGGATAAGATCAAAACTTGAATCGTAAAACTTGCCAAACATTTTACTCCGTTAAAACACAGTTGTTCGATAAAACTTTTGCTATTGTCGATAGTTTGCTTGTTTTGTCAATGCGATTCAAGTGACACGATTTATATAGTCGGTTAGTTTGCTTTAAGCTGTTTTTTTAATTGTATTGAAAGTTCAAGACGATGGAGGCTGAACGTGCTGGATAAATATTCAAAATTCTGCGATCCGTTGCAATAAATATTAATTGTGTAGACCAAGGTGCTATAAAAAGAAAGAAATTTCTTTAATAGAGAAAATATTTTATTTTATTATGAATTTTGCATTGGTATACAGCGATCGTATGTTTCTCGGATACACTCCTTTTATCGGTTTTAGCTTTTTTATTTTCATATTAGTAACAATAATTAAAAATATTTTTCGATTGCACATACTTGGGCCGCCATTTCTTGATAAGCTTGGACGTTTTGCCATAGAGGGCGCCTTGGGTACACACATTACTAAGCATTATTTTAGTTCAGTCGTATGGTTGGTAGGTAGTAACTAGTAACAGCTTTTTTGTTAGTCTGCGGCGACGTTGAAACGAGTAGTTAGTGAATGAATGAAAGACTAATTTGTTAGCAGTGTTTTCAAAGCTAGTGAAGTTGTTTAGTGCGATTTGTTTTGATCCGACATGACATCGGTTAAAGATTTGACGAGGGAAGACGTACAAATCGAACCGCCCTGTACCGAAAATTCAGCAACAGATCGCAATTCAAGATGTGGTTCGCCGAAACGCGGAACTACACTTTCAACTAGCACAAGTAGCTTCGAGGCGCTGGATCCTCACGATCCAAATCTAAGTCGTTTAGCCAACATGATGTTTAAAAAAACCGGTGAATATTTGCAAGAAGAACTAACTTCTACTCACGCCGACTATCGCTTGTTAGAACGATTAAACAAAGAGACGATTGCGAAGTATACCGAATTGAAAACAATATCTTCCAGCGTAGCTCAATCTTTAGATTCATTAAACGAAAAATATAAAAAATTGCAACCGATCTTGGATAACATCAACGAGATTGACGACAGTGTAACTAAACTGGAACAAGCTGCATATAAATTAGCAACGTATGCCAAACGATTGGAAGCAAAATTTAAAGACATTGAAAAGGATACGAGAAACAAATAAGTCTGTGATACATAACGTAATATATACGAAATATAAGTATATTCATATACTGAACGTTACAATAAAAGTGAGTTAAATACTGGAAGAAAAAAAGGATTGAAACTTATAAAATTTTTTGTGATAAATGGATTTATTTAATTGTATGTATATTTATATAAATACTGTACATATTTGACTTTACAATTACCGATATGTAAAGTGAAAATTTGTAATTGATTCAAATGTTATAATATTCGTTGTTGAATTATGAAGAAAATAGAGAAATCTTTATTTATAATTATGTGTCTTGTTTGTTTAGGTAAATAACAGTGAAAAATAACAGCAACCAATTCGCATTCTTATAATTAATTATATTAAAGTACAGTTGCACGCACACAAATATAAAGAGTCTGTAAAAGATTATTGTGTTGCGTGTTGTCTTACAATATATCACATAATATATTTCAATTTTGTAGTTCAACTATTTTCTAAGTGTATTGTGTGTTATTTATGAATCTACATGCTATCACTTTCTCCTTGCAAAGTATAAGATATTACAAATTTTGCTATAGAATAATGTACAGGAAATAATTTATGATGTTGATAAAAGAAAAAGAAAAAAATAAATATTCTTAAATGTAATGGAAAAACATAACTATGGAATTATAACAATACACAATGTTATTAAACACAAGACTTCTGCTACTGTACAATGTACCGATTCGATGCCATTTATAATATTATATTAACATTTTTGATGCAGAAGTATTCAGAATACGATAGTTTATTATATCATTGAAATATGCGATGAATGCAGTCAATTATAATTTGTTTCCTATACATAAGCAACGAGTTTTTAATTGCTTGTTAATTGAAGTTCATACAATGCTTGTTAAATGTTTAGCACTTGATAAGTATTAAGAAATTTTCGAATTTATGTTTGTGAGTTTTGCCATTTGATAAACTTTAATTATTTCTTTTTACAACAACAAAAATAAGACACTAAATATTTCAACATTGCATTCAATATCGTAACGATGCATCAGTGAACCTCAAAGTAAAATCATAAGAAAAAAATTTTTTTAAAGTTTAAAACTAAATTGCTCCTAATTACCGGTATTGTTTAATTGATCTTAACAATCTAAGAAATTTCCAGCCATCAATAATTCTAATGCAATTTCAGGTGCAATAGGAAATTCCGGTATTTCGGTACTGCTATTCGTATAACGTACTTTATAAGTAAAATACATGCAAACCTTTTGTAATACATGAGAGCTGTAAGTAAAAGATAGTTTCATATATATAGATACACCTATATAGTTTTCAAATATATCGAAATATTATTTTAAAATCGTAAAAAATTAACTTACGGGATTTCACGGAAATGAACCTCATTGGTTTCGTTTTCGGCAAATTGTCCGGGACCACTTAACATAGCCTTTATGGTTCCACTAGTCAAAGCATGTTTACGTCTAATAATAAATTCGTGTCCATCACTGCTCACTAGTTTCACATACATCGCGTCTGGTCCTTCGCATCCTCCATAAATTTGTCCAAATTCGTCCTAAAATTTTAGTTCATTACATACATTATGTTATAGTAGATATGGCTTTAAATATTACATTGGTAATTCTAACTACTCTACAATGGGAACTATTGTTAGTAACAAAAGACAGGGAAAATAATTTAAAAAATTATTGAAAAAATTAAAAAAAAGAAATCATTAAACAGCAAAATTTTAATTTGCAGAAATATATACCGCATTCAGGTCAATAGGTGAACTGCCTTCTTCTTCTTCTGCATTTTTGACAGTTTCTTCCTCATTGGGCTTGATCCAAAGAAAAATTCTCATTAATCAACAAATTGTTTACCATAATTTTCCTGTTTTCCAATTAGAGGAATCAATGAAATTTCAGTCATGATAGCAGCCCAATCATAACTGTGAGTAGTTTTCTTTTAAATACATTTCACATATCCCAGTTGTCATGCATAAGTTAGGCATGCATAATATTTTAAGAAAAGAAAAACATACCTTTCCGGCTTGCATATTCATATCATTCGACATATTTCTGTTTTATTGGGTGTATAGTATTTCTAAAACGAAGGAAGTTATTATTTGTAAGTAAATTATTCTGTTGTGTAGAAAAACGAAATATGTACTTCAAAAGATTTTTCTATCAAGTCAGTGTTTACGAAATGTTTCCTTGAATTACAATTTTAGATTTTAAATATTTTATTTAAAGAAGGAAAAATATATATGATGGTCTATTAATAATATGACATTTCATATGCACCAACCTAATGCATTGTCATTCAATCATGAAAGATGTAATTATTTTTGTTTAAAACTGAGCAACTATGTTACCATTGAGTCCTAATCCGCACACATTTCCTTAATTGTAATGCAAGGTCAGTTTTTACTCCATCGTTCGTGTAGACGTAAAGGTTACTCTGAACGTTAAGACATAACGCGTCATAATGGATTCAATATTAACCACAAATATTATGAATCAACGTCGATGTATACCCGTAATCGAACATATTGTAAAAATTTTAATGGAGAAATAATCATGAGAGGGAGACCATGCGTGAAAAGGAAAACAAAGGAATATCTGTTACGTTTAGCGTAAACTGTGTGCTAACAATTGCAACTACTTGGGATGACAAAATTGGAACGACGTATTTTTCACCGCGTACCGCGTAAAAACAAAAAATTATACATACCTTGTTGGAAAATGTGTTTCTATAAAATGTAGTCTTTTCGTTCACGATAAAGTTTTCTTAATAAGAGCAATGGCAATTAATATGGCTACTAGCAATGTCGTGTTCAGTTCTCGATGAGTCGAAACTACTCCATCTTCAGTTTGATTTGACGCCACGATTGGATAAGATCAAAACTTGAATCGTAAAACTTGCCAAACATTTTACTCCGTTAAAACACAGTTGTTCGATAAAACTTTTGCTATTGTCGATAGTTTGCTTGTTTTGTCAATGCGATTCAAGTGACACGATTTATATGGTAGGTTAGTTTGCTTTAACCTGTACTTTTAATTGCATTGAAAGTTCAAGACGATGGAGGCTGAACGTGCTGGGTAAATATTCAAAATACTGCGATCCGTTGTTTTTAAAATTGTTATGAAATTTCATTTATAAAGAAAAAAATACAACAAATGCTTGATAGATGGGTAGACTCTTTTAATTTTTATAGATGTGTACGAAGGTTAGACGAAGTACGCGAAACCTTAGAGTTAGCTGCTATTAAAGAGTCTAGTTTGCAAAATGTGACCCAAATATTGTATTCTATGTCGGAACGTGATTCAGAAACTCGCATAAAGTTATTAGAACTCGATGAACGTTTATTGGAAACTATCAAAGTAGGAAATAGGTATGTGTTTATTTAAGTTGTTGGCTCCCGCTTAGTCGCGCGAATGAGAATCCTATAAGAATACCTTAGCATTGTCGAACTCGTATCACCTGCGCGACTAACGTTGGGTTAATAATCTTCCAGTATCTTGTTACTATCTGCAGTGTTTCAGTTTAATGTTTAAAGGCAATAAGCAAGATTCTGTTGTTTTGTGTACAAAAAGTCAAACATACGACATTAAGGAAGCAGAAACCTCCAATTCGTGTATATTAATACCAAATTTAAGTTTATCCAAACAAGCAAGTACAAATACAAAGGATCGCGTAATAAAAACTTGTAATGTCTCAGGGGTTTTTCATAAGTATTACGAGGTATGCTAATTAAATGGGAACAATGCATGTGTAAATTAGTAATTTATAAATTTCCAAAATAATCAAGGTAAAGGACTGTAAGCCCAAGTTAGAGAAATTACTTAGCGTGCTTGAACCCACTTCTTTCAAAGGAATAGAGTATGAATCAACAATAGCTCAAGAACTTTTGTATGATTGGCATAAATTAAAAAATGAAATACAAGCCAGCGAAGATGAACTGTATCAAGCACTAAATGAATATTCGATAGTTAATATCGATGGTATTATATTTCTTTCTAAAACATTGGTTTTTTTATATTGTAATTTACATAAAAATTATAACATTAATACAAACCGGGAAAACATTAATTTGTGCTCAACACTGATATCAAGACATTTATTTGAAGAAGAAAGTACCCAAGTTGTTGCCAAAGCTGGTAACTTCCTTCCAGAGAGCAAGAATTAATGTTCCCTGGTATACACCAATGTTATAACTTGAGTGTAAATATACTCTGTACAGTGTTTTATATTGTTCTGAAGGGTATTATCGTCTGATATCATTCGAATTTGAAGTAAAATGTTTAACGTTAATGTTGGATTTTTTCGATGAAAATTGTTGGGAATTAAATCAGGTAGACAAAGAAGTTACATACGAGTCATTGAAGGAATTTATTCCCAAGCCTGTATTTGATCTTTTATTTGCCAAGTATACAGAAACAAGTAACGAATCGAAAGAAGATGGAACACGTTTGTATAGGTATTCGAATTTTTTTGGGAATATATGACATAGATTTTTATTTTATATTGCTGCTACAAAGAATAATATTATAGATACAGCGAAGAGAAATGCTGTAGATCCTTGGCAAAAGTTCTACTTATCGCCTCGCCGGTAACCGAGTATAAGCAATTTATGGAATCATGGCAAATCGGTACTCCGGAAAGTAAGACGCGATTTATTTAAATGAAATTTATTGACAAAGTATAGATTCAAATAGCACTTTTCTCAATGTAGAAATGGAATCAAAGGAAGAATATTTGAGCGGTATAGCGCTTGTTACGTGGAATAGTTCAACATTGAAAAAAGAAGTAGTATCTTTCTCAGAAACAGTATTGTCAAATAATATTAACGAGAGGTTCAATGAACTGTTCAAAGCAAAAGATAAATGGACAGTACAAGAAATAACACCTTACATTGTGTATGTAACATGCTCGTAGAACGAAGCAGGACCTTTTTCGTTCTTTGTTGCATAAGTTTTTTTTTTTTGTGTTTCAGAAATTTGTCAACGACCAAACTAAATGTCAACGCTCTTTTAACTAAATATGCTAGATGTTCGATAGTTAATGGTATTAAGTATTATAGCTCGAAGCTCGGTAAATAGTTGAAATGATTGAAACTGTTCGTTATACTGAAATCATTCGCGCCGTTTATTTCGCTTGTGATCATGATACATAGTTACATTTACACAATTTTATAAATATCTTCGAAGTATTATTACGCATTGTGTTTACTTTTATCATTCGTCATCTAATCGTGAAGAGTAACACGTTCAATCATGATAGACTGCCGTAACTTCGATACTTATTCCTTCTTAGCAAACTGTGTTTGTAGTTCGAAGGACAACTACCAGCACTATTAGTTACAAATGACTCGTACATTTATCATTTCGTCATAAATTACGAAATCTAATATTATATAACGTGATTGCGGAACAATTTTAGCCGTTAATGTTAAAATAAAATAAGCTTTTTTATATTTGTTTCCTAGTTAATTTGTAAATACAAGCGATCGAATAAATTTACCAAAACTTTGATGATCCCATCAACAGGGCGATCAATCGAATCTTTCACGAAGATATGTAGGCTTGTAATATTTTTTTTTTATCGCATTAAATTGGGCGTACAGTAAATTTGGTTTAAAAGAGTTTTTTTTTTTTACTTTTAATCGTGTCATCACATATTATGATATTCGTTACGACGTAGTTGTAATAATTACATACAATGTAAAGGAATCGAAAAGAAAATTATACCTTATACGATAAATGTTATAATATTGGAGGCAGTATAAATATTTTAATACATCGTACAGTTGAAAATTAAAAAACGTCTTAAATATTTTAATGCAGTTTTGGTAATTGGAATTCAAGTTTTTTTTCTTTAATCGGTTACAAATTAATTTCTTTTTTCGCGATTAATAAAACTCGCCGAAAGTAACATTCAACTCGATTGCCAACGTCACCGTTTGAATAATGTAAATTTCGAATATTTATTTATATACATTTAACGTAGTTCAAAGAGAAACGTATCTTATGCTCTCGATACAATAGCAGCGTCAAACGTTGTAATCGTAAGTTACAGATTCCTGGGATAAAAATTCATTAACGTGTAACTGTACATTTCCAACCCCCTTGATAGAAATTTCTATCTGGTTACACAAACACACACGCCTTGGCACATTACTTTTTAGAACCTTGAGTGTCGTAAAATAACGAATGGTATAAAAGTGCAATCGATCGGCATGAAAAATAATTCGGAAAATTAATAAAAAAAAAAAAAAAAATGCCACTTCGATACGAAACTAAAAACCTTCCCAGGAACGGAAACGTTAACAAATTCTATAAAAATGGAATACTTTACATCTATGGAATATTTAATAGATCCGTAAATGCATAGGCGCACTGTGTTGACAAGGCGTCAATACTATTCTTATGCAAAGATGAAATTTTCTATAAATATTTTGTAGGAACTGACTTGCCGTTGAAGAATGATTTGCTTTTTTATAAAACATTCTGTATAAATTTCACAAATCGGTATGAATAGCTAAATAATTACCTAATAGAAATAACATTCAGTCCCATTTTACATTGTAATCACTCCCCCTAGCAGGAAATAGACTATTAAATTATGGATTCGTGAAAACAATACCGTAAGATCGTATTCTACATGAAATTAAATTTTCGCGAAATATTACCGTTTGAACTATTTCTTTAAATATATATATATATATTTATAAATATAATATATATATAGAATTGTTCAACTACCTATAGAGTGATGCAATCAGACAATCTTTAGGATTATTGGATCGTATACGATATAACGTTAATTGCAATTTCTTTTAGAATTCATTTTCAATAAAGTCGAGACACGTTCGAGGAAACTGAAACGCGCTGTAAAGAAGAATTGAGTGCGATTACAATCCTCTGTTTGAGGACTGTGCCTTTTGCGTCACCCTATATACGCGGTTGTTATACAATAACAAATTAACAATAATTCTAAAGCTTTGGAGTGATTTTCTTTATAGCTGTGACTTACTTTTAATGATAATTCCTCTACTGCTACATCTAACGAATACTGTCCTATCTATAAGTACGTTTAGACCAAGTCTGTATAGTGTTAAAAAGAGCTATAAAGCACAAATACTAAATCTCCTGCTGCTGAGTCATGCGCGAGATGTAGACGGGTAACTTGTACGATGTCGTCTATGTACATACAAACTAATATCTCTTCGAAGTATTCCTGAAACCGGTAAAGATACAATTAACGAACGCATGCCTCGGGTTAGGTTGCATACGGGACACTGTTCACGTGTATAATTTACCTTAATACAAGGCACCTCGTTGTTAGCTATCACTTGTCGCAGTTTCGTTTGGCGTTTTATTGTTAGAACCAAACACCGATTGTTGACTAATACCTGTCGCGACTGTCTGACTTGGATGAATTACAGGTCCTACTGTTTGGACTAAATTACAGGTAACCGGCACCATTGGCGGCAGATTCACCGAATTATTCATAGGACTGATATTACACGATAACGATGGTCTTTTTCTTTCTAAGCTATTCGTCGCCATCTGTCGTCGTGTTGTCGAATTACGTTCGAGACTGTTCGTGACAATAGGATGCCTTCGCTCGAGGCTGGAGCCGCTGCTAACGTCGCTTTGGCTATCCTAAACAGGGGAGAAAGATTCGTGTGTCTATGGTAACGGTGTAAAAAGTGATTTACTAACGATGAGAAATTTTGTTGCTAGGTCCAGGTGCGTTACCTGCAGAGAACGATCGACCGACTGGCCCATTCTGTGAAGAAGGTCGCCGCTTTGGCTCTGTCTGAACGTGGTGCCTTGGCGTTCGGTCGACTGACTTCTTCTTAGAAACTGTTCGCCAGACTGGCTGGAACGGATACGACCTTCCGGTGCAGATTCCTGCGGGACGCTAACGTCGTTTTGCTTTTGGCAAATCTGATTGTCCACGTACGGATAGCGAATGCGTATCGAGTCGATCACGTCTAACAAGTTCTTCGCGTCCATTGCCAAGATGTGAGCTGCCGATAACATTCGTCTGAAATCATTGTACGTACCCTTAATATTTCCGTTCGTTCGTTACACCGGGATATATACACGGTGATTCTGGAATTTTACTTTCGGTACTCCGCGTCCAAAGTAGTAGCGCTGTACTTCTGAGCCTGTTTCATGGCGGTCACCAGTTCCGCCATGTCCTTGCTGAGAACTTTATGCGCCATTTCTACTTCTCGATGAGCAGATATGGGTAATATGTCCATCAGAGCGTCCACGGACGATAGGAGTGTTCTCAACTCGATGCCTACTTTCCGTACTAGTTCCAAGTATTGTTCAGCTTTGCTTTGTTGAACGCCTGTAGTCATAATTCGGTTAAATCGAGATTCACAGATGTAATAAAGTAAGCGTTAGAGAGTTACATTGCACCTTGAGACAGAGACATTACGGCACGGACGACACTCGTAGTGCAATCGTATACTTTGTCGTTGGTTCTGTCCAAATCCGCGGTTGGAGTAGGCTCCATTTTCTAGGGAACACAAATAATTTCTACCGCTTTGTTTGTAACACGAGCCTCCCTATACAGGGTGTTCGGCCAACCCTGGCAAAAATTGTAATGGGAGATTCTGGACGCCAAAATAAGACGAAAATCAAGAATACTAATTTGTTGATGGAGGCTTCGTTAAAAAGTTATTAACGTTTAAAGTTTCACATCTTCTCGAATTTTTTTCTCGAAAATGAGTAGGATTTCGTGGGTATGCCTATTCACCAAAAATGATCGTAATTGACCTCCGCAACCGAAAATAATTTTTCCAAAACGATTTGAAATTTTTTTTTCCGTCGAAAAATGTCACACCTTCTCGAATTTTTTTCTAGAAAGTGGAAGGGATTTCGGGGGTATGTCTATTCATAAAAAATAATTGTAATTAATCCCCTTAGCTAAAAATAAATTTTTCAAAACGATTTGGAACTTTTTAATTTCGTTGAAAAATTAGGCACCTACTCGAATTTTTTTCTAGAAAGTGGGTAGGATTTCGAGGGTATGTCTGTTCACCAAAAATGATTGCAATTGACCCCCGCAACAGAAAATAATTTTTCCAAAACGATTTGAAATTTTTTTTTCCATCGAAAAATGTCACACCTTCTTCGAATTTTTTTCTCGAAAGTGCGTAGGATTTCGAGGGTATGTCTGTTCACCGAAAATGATTGTAATTAATCCCCTTAGCTAAAAATAATTTTTTCAGAACTATTTGGAACCTTTTAATTTAATCTGTTAATAACTTTTTAATAAAGCCTCGGTCAAGAAATTGGTATTCTTGATTTTCGTCCTATTTTGACCTCTAGAATCTCCCATTAAAATTTTTCCCATGGATGAACAGCCTGTATAGTATGATGATTAAGTCCATTACCTTCACAACGATCACTTTATCAGTGCCCTTGTCAGAACCCAATGAGCCAGTATTGGTGCTGTGCTGTTCATGATTTGGTGATTGGGTGACTGAACGAGGAACCGGAGGACTGGCACTTTCATCGCCGCTTGTCGCGATAGATAAACGTTTCTAAACAGATAGAAATGGATATTGCAATATTAACATTGACTAAAGTAAATAAACAATTGATTTTATAAGAGCGTTGTAGGATCATATGCATCGTAACTAATTTGCACACCTCTTCTCTAGCCAACCAGCGACTGTCCTCTTCCGACTGGCGTTGCTGTTGCAACAGCCGCTGTTCAAGCAGCTTTTGTTCGTCGTCGATGCCGCTGTTGAAGTTTTCTGTAACGCTGTCCAACAGCTGTGATTGCACAGCTCTCTGAAACGAGACAAACTGATTTTTATTTCTCACGTGTCGGTTATCCAATCGTCGATTTCGGTAAATTCATTGTCTCGACTTTCTTTCAATAAACATATATATATATATACACGGTAAAATTAAAGAGATGCATAATTCTCGATGCAAAAATACAATTTCAGAATGAGAGTAGTGCAATCACACTCGTCACATGCAGCTCAAGATGTTATATATATGTATGTATATAACATCATATTATTATTATTATTATTATCATGTCCATTCTTCATGCAAAAGTATTAGCCTACCAAACTTCAAATAAAAAAAAAAAATAATTCAACCGTAACGAAACATCGTGCCTAGTTTTTTTTTTTTTTTTTTTGCGCAACGAAAGTAGAAAGGCCTACTGCGTGTATGCGTGTGTGTGTCTGTGAGCACACAAACGAGCGTGCGCGAGCGTTCCGCAGATTAGAGCCGTTCGAGATCACAGGAACCAATCCAGGAATATTCCAGGAACAAATCCGGATGTGAAACGGGGATCCCGAACAGTTCTACCGCGTTTACCAAAAAGCATATACCGTAACCCCGCGTGCATTGTCACCAAGTGCCCATTTAAATCTGTAAATGTAAAATAGAATCGTTCGTATTGCCTCGCTATTTTGTTCACGATAGCGTTATTAATGGTACGGCGGGATCCTCCCAACGGGGAACGAGTCCAAACACGAAGTAATTCGGAACATTAATAATTACACATTGTTCGAATTACGAGTAATTAAAAATAATTAGAACAAGGTCGTGATTGTACTTATTCTCACCGATCCATCGATAACACTTTCGCGAAGATGCAGCGATACACATATTTTATTTTACATTGGCGGATTCGACCCTGCGTGCAGCGAACGATAACAGCGGAGGGGATGACTCCGTTGCAGTTACGGAGGTGACAATTAAACGGGGGTTACCGTATGTACGTATATACACATTGCTGCTCAAAAGTTTCAAGCACCTCCGCTGTTTTTAGAGAAACGAAGCTTTTTTTTTTTTATAAGGACATACGCTCGTTTTATTTAGAATTGTATTCTTTGTTATTAGGATCACTTAACACTTTGACGGCCGCTGTCACGTGTGCGTGATCTACTGCATCGGTCACCATTTTATCATACATTCAACTTATTACGTTTGTCGATGTTACATTTATAATTCCTTGTAATAATATTCCTAATATCAGTGGTGACGGGCAACGGTCTTATTACACGCGGCCATTAAAGTATTAAGTACAATTTAAGATAAAAGATTGTGATCGTGTACCATTTGTACCGCAAACCACGACTCGCTCTGTACAAGAAAGACAATATCCTTAATGAAACGTTCTCGTATGCACGGAAAAAGGTTCGGTTCGCCAAAAATTGCGAAGGCGCCGGGAAGTTTCGCGGCGGCAGCGTGTGCACGTCCATCGCGCGCGACACAAGTGGTTGTCGGTTAGGTGCAAGAATGTCCCGAGTAACAAAAAAAAAAAAAAGAAAAAAAAAAAAATGAAATCAATGTACATAATGCTGTTTGCAGATAGGAGGATGCGATTTGTTTCATTCCTAGGAGGCATTAGCCGAACCTGGTCTTGATGCGCCTCCTCTGTCATCGAGCTGCTCGACGACATCGTGCTGTCGCTGACAGCGGAGGATATCAGAGATCCGGAGAGCGTACCGTCTGTGGAGCTAGTCAGCTGTTCGTCTTGCTTTTGCGCTACGTACGTGGTGATTTTCGCGACACCGGTCGCCGGCTGGGGCGCGCTAGTCTTAACGATTCCCGGCTGGCAGGCGAGATACTGCGTGGCGTTCGACGCGCTCGTTACCGGATTCGTAACGTTGCACTGAGCGGCGACGCTCGATTGTTGGCCGACGACCACGTAGCTAGACGTGCACGGATGAACGTGGTGCTGATGCTGCATACCGGTGGACGGTTGCGGCTGTACCGGATGACCCGGGCCCAGCACGCCGAACGACAATTGCTGATTCACGTTGGACGATTGCGAGCTGGCCACGTGACTGGCTATTCCAGTCTGTTGGATCTGTTGCGCGTACGCGTGACCCGGATGCACCTTCTGCGACTGCACCACCGTGACGGAGGTCGCGTGGCCCGTGTAAATCGGGTTGGCGCCGCTCGGCTGGCACTGCTGGCCAGAGTGTTGCGCCGTCACGTAAGAAGCCGAGTGCACGGGATTGCTCTGACGTTGGATGTTCTGGGCGTGCTGGGACTGCGACAGGTACACCGTCTGCGGCCCCGGATGACTGATGTTCGAATAGATTTGCTGCTGGTGTTGGTAATTCTGGGCGTGCATCATCATCGGCTGAGGCTGCAGACTCTGCCCGGTCGTCGCGACGTGCGCCACGTTCCCTCGCGGATTCTGGACGCAGCCGACGACGGGCGCGTTCGCGGACATCGGGTCGGGCGCGTTCTGCGCGCGGAACTTGAGCACCGGACCGTACAGACATTCCGCGTTGGACGTGGGCACGTTAGCGTTGGACGAACCGACGGTCGCGCGTGAACTCTGACCGACCGGTTGACCTACACCGAACACTTGACCCGCGCCAGCGCCGGGGAATTGACTGTAACTGGTGGCGATCTGAGGCTGACCGACCGACGCCATATTGTTCAGGCTGCCGGGCCCGAAGTTGCCCGGATTCTCGCCGAAGTTACCGCCCACGCTCGGGCTCTGGCTCAGATTGCCGACGATGGCGGAGCTCTGGGTGAAATTGGCCACCGGGCCGTAGATCTCGCCGCAGCCGGACGCGGCGGTCGTCACCGGGACGCCGCTCGACGCTGTGAACTTCTGCACGGGCGAGTAAAGATCGCCTGTAATGCTACCGACCACTTTCGAGCTGACCGCGTACAAATTTTGCATCTCTTTAACCTTCTGCTGCTTTTTGCTAGCAGCGGGTGATTGGGCTTGTGCAGTCTCTGAAATGTTCAGGCTGGACACGAGGGACGGAACGTCCGAGGACTCGAGCGAGTCCAGGTTCGTGTCGGATAGGGTCGAGTCCCCGGAATGGGTGTCGTGGGAGGCGGACGGTTCGGAGATGGTCGGATCGAAGAAGGGCAGGTCGGAGACCAGGGCGGTGGTCAAGACTTGGTCTTCGTCTTGGAACTGCACCGCCAAGGTGTTGAAGGGGGAGGCGGGTGTCGTGTACACGGAGGGACATACCCCCCTGGTTTGATTGTCCTTGAGAAGTTGCGCGAGAACCTCGGGGCTTTGAGCCACGATATAGGTGGAAACAGGCGCCGCGGCCGTTAGCTGAGATTGGTCCGTCGTGTTTTGCGGTTGCCTCGATGGTTTCGGCGGCGGTACGTCGTCTGCACCTAAAACACGACAGATCATCTGATGAAACGTCCAAGATCGTCACGCAGGGTGTCTCGAAATACGCCGATGCGGTCCAAATAATTTTACTCGAGCAACGCATAATTTACAATTAATTCAAGGTGATCGCGTCGGGTGTCCCACTGTGCATACTTTGCGACACCCTGCATAGTTAATCGTTCCTCTCCCTACATACCCCAAGACATGGCTTGAACTCTCCTGTTTTCTCGTTTCATCGTTTCCTGCTGTTGATGTTTCTCTTCCAACAGAATCTCACTGAAAATTTTAACAATGCCCAACTTATAAAATTTGTACAACCAAAGTTAGAACTCTTTTCGCTAATATTATTTTAAAAAGTATATGAAATGTTTGAGAACATAATATTTGATCGAGTTTTTATCGGTTCTGTAATCAGCCACATTTTGAATACTATCGTACTTGTTGATCGACGTTATCGGAACGATAAAGCTTGGTATCGTCGGAGGATACCTAAAAATACGCGATTGCTGTTGGTCAGGCATACTCACTGCAACGTTTCCCTGATTTCTTTGAACGTTGGTCGCTTGCTAGGCTCGTAACTCCAGCACTGAGACATCAGTGAATACAATCGCGGGGGGCAGTGATTGGGCAGCGCCAGTCTCTCCCCGTTCTCGAGCTTGCGGATCACCTCGTTGTTTTTCACACCTTGGAACGGCTTCACGCCCAGCATCAAAATCTCCCACATGCACACGCCTGAACAAGTAAAACAAAGACGCTTTACCCTCGCCTTAAGCAAACGGTAACGGAGGCGTAAAAACATTGGTTTTGAAACTGACCAAACATCCAGACGTCGGAAGACGTGGTGAATCTCCGGAAGTTGATGCTCTCCGGGGCCATCCACTTGATCGGTAACTTGCACTTGCTGGCCGTGTAGTAGCTTTGATCCTCCACCCATCTGCTCAGCCCGAAATCTGCCAATTTCACGCAATTGTGGGCGGACACCAGCACGTTCCTCGCGGCGATATCTCTGCAAATAATTAGTCATTAGACCGATAACGTAACTTTCAATCGTTTGCTCGTCCCGTTACCTGTGCACGAATTTCTTGCTCTCGAGGTACGACAAGGCGGTGCTCAGCTGAAACGTGTAAAGCAACAGCGTGGCTAGGTCCAGACGCTGTTTGTTCGATTGCAGATAAGCTCTCATCTCGCCTAACCTGGCCAACTCCATCACCAGCCAAATCGGTGCTTCCGAGCATACACCGATCAGTCGTATGATGTGAGGGTGCTCGAACTGTTGCATTATGTCTGAAATTTTCGCGCGTTAGAACGGTTTTTCTTTCCGCCGATCGAGTCTAGAGCAGGTTCCTTACAGGCTTCCTCGAGGAATTTCTCCGATGTCGCGAGATCCGCGTCCACTTTGCAGGTTTTCACGGCTACGGCTATGGTCTGGTTGTCCCTGCCCTTGTACGAACCCTTGTGCACGTTCCCGAACTGACCCTCGCCGATTATTTCGCCCAGCTCCACTTGGTTCCTCACTATCTCGTAATCTCGAGCTGCAATTCGCGATTGGAAACACATTTATGTGATTCTTCGCACTGGAATATCATTAACTTGGAATATTAAATACTGCCAATTTTATATGGGACTTATTGGGCGAATAATGTAGGCGCCATCTTGTTCTACGATCCTCTGTCGTGTTTCGGGTAGTTTAAGAGTTTTTTACGGTAAAATTTATTAAAAAATCCAGATATGTTTCATGGAAAGAATTCTCCAATGTGCAAAATGGTGGCTTACTGGCTGGCGTCGAATAGTCTCCCTCCTCGTCCACGATCTCCGCGTAGTCCTCGGACAATATGGTCCCCGTTTTGCTGACGTTCTTCTCCGGACTGTTGGTGCCGTCTTGTCTGTACTTGGGCGGATGGGCGTCTACATCGAAACCAACATCGCGTTCTTAATAATCACGCAAGCCCATTTATCGCGACGTTCATGCAGCACCAAACACGATAAACTACGGGACCATTCAAAAAAAACTACAAACCTTTGCATGGACAGGGATAGTTTTTCCACGATGCAGCTTGGAAGTGTAAACGATTAGAAACTTGGTTATAGTCCGTGAACGTAAAAGGGGGGGTAGGGGGTAGGGGGTAGGGGAGGTAACGTGCGAATAATAAATTCTGTGTACGATGCGTGTGAGTACGTGTATCGACGTTACGTTTCTAATTTGTTCAGGTACTATAAAAAAAAACAAAAAAAATTCTCTAAGTATCGATCGTGTGATCATCGTGATTCTTTGCTTCGAAAACTATAGCGTTAAGAAGAGACTCGAGCATCTTGATAATTTTAAGGGTTTACGCCAGGGTGACGGGCTGAAAAATAAGGCAGCTTTTGGATACTGTTTTCGAGCTCAACTTTCAATGATAAGTAATTAAAGTTTCTTTCTTTCTCTCATGCTACTCTTCAGGGCTTTTAAATTTTGTTTCCCCGGTAGGGAGAGTGGTACCTTTTCTGTTCCACAACGAGGTGTTGCTTCCGGTGACCAGCCTGCAGTATCCATCGATGAGATCGGCGAGACTCTCCGCTTGATCGAGACTGGAGCACGTTATGCTGAGCGTTTCCGCCGCCCCGGCCACCCTCAACTTGATGCACGCCTTCGCGTGTTCCTTGCAGTCGGACGCTAGCGTCTGTATGGACTGTATCTGGGAGAACTCCGCCATTCTCGTTGGCTGCGACAACACACACCTTCGGTGAAACACTGGGAAACGTTTCTTTGGCCTGTCAACCGGGACGTTTCTCGCAATAAAAGGACGCGGACACGTTTAGTTTTGCCTCGTGAAGTTACTTTCTATCTCTAATTTATTATTTCCGGTTAACAGGTCGGGTCAGAGGAGTCACCGAGAAACCTACCACCGTTCCACCCCTGTGGGCCATGTAAGATATGCCTAAATCCGGCCCGATGACTAGTTCCACGGGTATAGACCAGCTCGACTGAAAACGAGAAGAGTAAAGTGCAAATAACGTCGCTGGGTCTTCCGAGTTCTTTGGAGCAGCGAATACAATGCAGACTCACCCCCAGAGCGCATATGAACCTCTCTTGGTCGAATCTGTAGTGCGCCCTCAGGAGATCGAAGAACTTGAACATGCATTCCAGTTCCGACTGCGCGGCCACCTTCTTGAAATGCTGCTGTATCAGCTTGCGCAGCGCCTTTGGTTTCATTCCGTTCAGCACGGATCGCGGTAAAAACTTGTGCAGACCGACCTGCGAAACGAACAACAGGCGATTGTTAGCGAAAACCGAGGCGAAATGACGATTATCTTTCATCCCGCTGTACCTCTCTTTCCAGGTACTCGAGATTGCTCTTCTTGTCGAGCGCCATTTGCGGCATGTCTTTGAAGAAGTAACGAATCTCCAGACAGCACAGCTGAACCGCCACGTCCTGGTCCAGGGCCGCGTGATTCGCGCACAGATAATCGTTTCGTACCTACGACAACGACCATATTCGATTCCTTTGTTCAAAACAGTGGTAATTAACCCTCTCTTCCCCGAGGACAGAACCTACCACGAATGCAACCTTCCGCCATTTTGGGGGGTTGCAGTCGTTCCCAACGAAACTTAAAATTTGTTCACTCGTCTAAACCTTGAATCGAGGTGTTTGCACTAGCCAGAAAAAGATCGTGGCGTGGTACTTGACCCTTGCTCGACCCCCGTAGCCTTAGAAAAGCAACCCCCTTCGCTATTGTTTGACTCCCACAATGACCCTTCCGGGGTCTAGCCCCTTGGACGAGTTACTGGAATAACCTAATATGCTACCCTGAGGTCTGGGGAGTGGATCAGGTTAAACACCACTGGTTTACCAAGTGTACGATGTATTGGGTTGAAAAAGTTCTGCCACAAGGTACCTGATCGTAGTAGTAATAGAACGTCACTTTATCCTTCTCGTACAGGTCGTTCAGGTTCTGCGGTAGGTACCGTACCCTCAGCTCGTACCTCCACTCGCAATGGGGGTGTTTCTTCTCGTACTTCTCTTGAACCTGACAAACATTCAGAAACGTTCTAATTCCTCGTTTGTTCTACGTTTGTGCAACCTAAAGAATCGTTCTAACATAGTTTTCTATTTTCAGGCTCGACGAACCTGGTACATGGTGGTGTCTTGGTGCAACCAGTAGCTCTCTCCCGATCCGGGATGATGCAGCCTCATGGCGTAGAGATTTCGATAGTGCCTCGTGCCAACTGCCAATCGACTGGTCACCAGAGAGATGATGCCTCTCACGTCGATGGCGTCGCCGAACTTGACGACGTTGAAACCACCTTGGGAAAAATCACAGTCTGCGTAACTGGCTTGTACGATCACGATGAAAAATAGGGCTATATTTTTTACTTTTGTAACTTTAAATAAGGGTTGCTTGTTTCGAGCGTAAAATAGTTTTTAATTTACCGTTGGGCAGATGGACCTTGAGGGTCGCCTTGTCCATGGGGGTGGGCGATCCATGGGGCGGTGTGTTCTTGCCGCCGCCGCTGCCCTGCACGCCGCCAACGCCGCCTCCACCTCCATCTCCCACGCCAGTGCTCATCCCCTCATGGCTGCCATGGAAAAGATAAAAGGAAAAAACGGCGAAGAGGCCGGGCTTAGTCGACGTCGCGGCAACGAGGACGTCAATTATGCATTATCTCATAAAACCTCGGCGCGCGCTGGTTCAACTTAACGTCGAAGCTCGCCCGAGAGTATTAATTATTCACCGGCCCATAGAGGAAAAGGATTTCTTCTGAAACCTTCCGGCTTTCTCTCTTTCTCTCAGCCCCTTCTAACCGTCCCGGAATTTTCGCCGTCGACAAAGAGGCGGATAATACGCGAGACGCAAAGAAGCTTGCGTGCTCTAAACACTGCAGCGGCATCGAGCCGCTTTCAAGCGTGTCCAGGCACGATTAATACCGGAACATCGCTTTCTGATAACGCTCGAATCGATGGATCGGGTTTAAAGACGACGTAAATAATTCCGTGGAAAAGGGACGCTCGGTTTGTTCGAGGGTGGCAAAGTCGGAGGGGGTGTCGAGTGAATTTATGGACGGCCTCCCACGTTCGAAGGACCTCGCGTAAACAAAAGCACGTGAGCATGACAGTCGCGGCTTCGATGCTCGATAGTGTCGTGGTCTCGCGCGTCTTACCGAACGACAACTTACTTGTTCGATGGCTCGATACAATGCGTGGGCGGCGACACATGTCGATATTAATGTCACCGGGATCGGTACGATCGCTACTTGGCGACTAAGCAGAAATTACTCGACATTGTTCGCGTTCCCCTTAACCTTTCGCGGTATCGAGCGCGCGAAACCCGTCGCCGACACTTTCAAAACGCGTTCGAACACGAACAAACGCTGTAATCGCCGCCTTCGTGCGCACACCGACGCGGACAAACGCCATTATCATAAACACGGTTATTGTTATACGGGACGGGTATTTCTTTCTATCATCTTCGCCATCGGGGCGATTTAACGGCGCGTGAATTCGACGCGTCATCGCGCGAGCATGATTGTCCGCGGATCGGCCGTTCCCATGCGTTCTCCTGGGTGATTGTCGCTCGGTATTTTTAGACGTTACAAGATCGCGACGCGATATTTCCACTAATCGTTTCTCGCTTATACAGACTGCTAGCAGAGCCGGGGCAGGTTTTATCTCCGAGCGACGAATCGAAATTTTAGGCTCGTTCCGTAAACCATTGCTCACGTCACTGCTTCTCTAGACATTGGAGCTTGACTTCTTCGCGTTCCATTCGATTTAGAGTTATTTTAAATCTTAACTGGACTATTGCAGCCGCAAGTTTGAATTAATAATTGTTAACATTAAGTAAACTAATTCAGTTGAGACTTAGAGTCCACTTAAGGGTCAAGGGAATATAGACTTATTCGATAATTTTATTTCTTGAGAAGGATTCAGTAAGAATAATAATAGTGAATTAATGCGTCGCGTTTGTCGTCATCGTTCTCGAGCTCTTGTACCTGTATTCATGGAACGAAACATGTTCACGGAGGCTGTTTCTTTATTTTGCAATGGCGACGCGACGGCTAGCGATTGAAACGCGTGAGTAAATTGGGACGTTGACCGGACCGAGCGCCTAACCAGATTCCCCGTCGTCGCTGGGTTCACGAACGAATCCGAAACCTGTATTCGTTGTTCTTAAATACGAGTTGCCGAACTCCGGGGCCGCGTGGCGAGCCTCGAAAACCGTTCGAAACGGAAGCGAGACGGGACTACGGTTTCTTATCGGTCGGACGAAACTCCGATAACCTTGATCGGATCGATATACCCGGCTGAATCACGACTTTCGAAGGCGAATCCGTCATACTTTCCACGAGGAAGGTTGGACGTCGGTGACGTCACTCGCGATGACCTAATAAAACGCCTCCTCCGTTTGTCTTCGATTCGACGTCGTTGTCCAAACCAGCGTCTCTCAAACTGGGCTTCGCGAGACCCTCGACGTCCATTTTGTAAATCACAGAAATCACAGAAAACCAGAAACAGTTTCCTTCGACTTGCATTTCATATTGGGGAAACATTTTATCAAACAGAATTATTCGTATGTTTAAATATTTCTTATACATTTGCATATTAAGTGCATCAGGTAGTTTTTTGAAACTTAAATGCACTCTCGTTGTGAATTAACACGTTCACTGTCCGGTCTCTTAGCGGTATATTCAAAAGCATGGTGTCGTGACTCGTATACGGGCCATAGACAGTGAACGTGTTGAGTACAGCTGAGATGTTTAATGATCGTTTGCTCGTTGAAAAGCTAGATCGATACAAAGTTTGAGACACACTGGTCTAAACTATGCGCCGCGAATGAACTCGCGCGAGCGTTGATCTTGCGCCGAATGAATGCAAGCGGTTGTATAAATTATTAATAACACGTTGCTTACGGTGACTTCATGCAATTATCGAGATTCTACTGTCTATCTCCACTGTCCCATAATTCCGCTTTCTAACTTCGTTTCTGACGCATCTCTAACGCGAAAGGTACATTCATAGTACCTCGATAAAGCGTCTCGAGCAGACGCTTTAACGAGGTATGGCGGCGATTTGCTCACTGGAAGCGATTTTTAGTCCCATAAGCTCCTGCACACTTAGAGTACAGTATAAATATCATGGATAAATCACTGTACAGTCGCTGTTTGCTCGAGTTTCAGTACTTTTTAAAGTCATTGTACGCGAATGACTCCCAAGTGTCGTTCGTTCTCGAGGGAAATTTTTCTAGACCGTTCGTGCCATTTGTCAACGCAACAAACAAGGTTCTCGCACGATCATCGAGGTTGTGTAGTGTGCTCGAAAGTTTCGTGGATCCGACTGAATTCGAATCTCCGTGCTAAGCGATGCTCGACTCGGTTTCTCGAGCACAGTGGAACAACACTGATGCTTGCATGTGAACCTTAACCGTTGCATCGCAGAAGGGGCGGTTACTTAGCAACAAGTGAAGCTGGAAGTGGAAGTCTTCCGCTTGAGACAAAAGCAGATCGATCGTAAGAGACCTTACGCGAGAGGTGAAGTGTAAGCGATGGAAATGCATTGTGGAGCTCGAGGAGCAACCAAGAAATCTGAGTAATGTTCGCGGTATGAAAAAAATCCGCCGTTTCATCCACGGGTTGCGTTTTCGCGATCGCGATGCACTCAAATTCTTTGCATTTGTGGAATATTTGAAAAGCCGATCGTCGAGTCTGAATTTTATACAGAAACGGATACTTCAGATCTATGCTCTTCCTTTTAATCGCATGAATTTCGATAGAAGCAAAGAACGAACCTCTTTTTTTTGCAATTAACGAGGTTCTACTGTACTAGTCGCGATTGACCGGGTCTGTGCACAAAGGATTCGAGGGCTCCTTTAAATCGAGCGGGTATTTCCATTCCGTAAACCACTGGTAATCGCGGCGGGAGACGTCCTTCGTTGAAAAATGTCGGCTAGGTGATTTCATTTGGTCGTCATTCAATCGCAGTTATGAAGCTATTGAAAGGCTACTCGGAATTAACGCGCTGGAAAATAGAAGAACCGCCTCGGATTTAATGGTCCCATTTAAAATCACAAACGGCCGTATTGCACGCCCGGAAGCACTTTATTCCGGCCATTTGTATGCGCCGTGAAAAATAGTTAGAAACGCGATCCTCTGTTCGACCTGAACTACCTCTAGATTTCGGTACGATGTTTCACTATCGCGATACATTCTCCATGCAGATTCTTTCCCGAGGTTTCCAGCCCACCCTGGTTGTTATTTAGGAATGAACAGTATTATCATATACAGGGTGTAAAAACCACCCCTGGGAAAAACTTTAATGGGAGATTCTAGAGGCCACACAGTATATTTTCGGTAAAGAATTTTTTTCTCGAAAGTGAGTAAAATTTCGGGGGTATGTCTGTTCACCAAAAATGATTGTAATTAATCCCCATAACAGAAAATAATTTTTCCAAAACGATTTGAAATCTTTTTTTTCCATCGAAAAATGTCACACCTTCTTGAATTTTTTTCTCGAAAGTGGGTAGGACTTCGAGGGTATGTCTGTTCACTAAAAATGATTGCAATTGACCCCCGCAATAGAAAATAATTTTTCCAAAACGATTTGAAATCTTTTTTTCCATCGAAAAATGTCACACCTTATCGAATTTTTTTCTCGAAAGTGCGTAGGATTTCGGGGGTATGTCTGTTCACCAAAAATGATTGCAATTGACCCCCGCAATAGAAAATAATTTTTCCAAAACGATTTGAAATCTTTTTTTCCATCGAAAAATGTCACACCTTATCGAATTTTTTTCTCGAAAGTGCGTAGGATTTCGGGGGTATGTCTGTTCACCAGAAATGTTTGCAATTGACCCCCGCAGCAGGAAATAATTTTTTTTGAACGATTTGACAAATTTTTAAATTTAATTTTTTAACAACTTTTGAACGAAACCTCAATCGAGAATATTCTTAATTTTTGTCTTTATTTTGGCCTCTAGAATCTTCCATTAAACACCCTGTATTATAAGTTTGAGTTTTCCACGGTTTAAACTGGGGCTAGAAAGCTAGCTTTGGTGATTTAAAAATGGCGATTTCGCTTTCTTACGGATCCCCGACGTTGTTTGTGTTTTGGTTCCGTAAAAAGGCGACGCGCGAAAACGTCGTCGAACTGTTCCAGCAAGTGTGTTTGCATCGTGGCTATTAATGCAAATGTATATTACGAGCGTCGTCCGGCTAAGGAATGCCGTCGGTCAGGAACGAAGTGCTCGCGCAAAGAACCACGAGCCTTCTCCGTCGATATGTGTGTCGAATCGTAGGAAAAATCGAGAGGAATCGGGACGACTTCTCAGAACCGAGATCCCGGAATCCCTGGAATCTCGATATTCGAGACGATACCGTATCGATTGTTCCGAAACGACACTCGATCGTCAAGATTCTCGAATGTTTCGAGACTCCCGGATTCCCCGATCGAATCACAGCTCTATACAAGATAAATATTTACGCTAACTGGATCTCCAACCACCAACGAGGCATAAATGTTTAGTAATAATTATCGATAACGAATAATACTGTTTCTCCCGTGGTTCTCTTTATTTTCTATTGTT